GCCCAACCTTAGCGGGCGTCCCCGCGCAGGCAACGTTCACCTGCCTGGGATGAGCTTCTGCCTCCCTCACACAGCATGAGGCTCGGGCTTTCATACTCACAAAAACGCACGCTCGTTGCTACGCAGGGGGCCAGCCCACGGCGCAAGAAGCGGCCAAGAGTATCTAGGAAGGTCTCCCAGGGTCAGGACTTCTCCAGGCAGTTCTAAAGCACAACTCTCGGGCTACGAACCAAAGCTGGACCTCGCCTGAAGCAGCCACAGCACAACTCTCTGCGAGGAGCCAAAGGCAACAAACACTACTTTCCCACCCTTGCCTGCTTCACCAAGGACCCTTACCTACTGTCCCAGACACGACACCCCAGACTTAAGCCCAACAAATGGCACATTGTCACCCTGGCATTTAACTCCCAGGCACTACCTTTACTAAAACTGACCATTCCCCTCCCAGCCACCTCCAAGCGTCTTCTCAGACATTCTGGATCAAACACTACATTGGAATGATACATCTCAAACGCCTTCCTGCCATTCTGACGCTGTCTCCCACCCCCTTGCCTCCTAAAGCAGTCCCTCTACTTAGCTTGCATAGTCCCATGCGTCTCGAGGCAACCTCACTGCTCAGAACTCCCACGGCAGACGCCAGCCATGCTGCAGACCTTGACAAGTTCCTCTTCATCATCTGCAGAAACAAACCAAACACAGGGAACAGCCTGTGGTGGCCCTCATCTCCACCACCCCAGCCATCCCGCCCGGCCTGCTCCTTACCAAACCTCGGGCTCCTCCAAAGCTCCTCAACACTGGCCTCGCCTGTCCCAAAGCCATTCCACAGTCTGACCTCGGGTCTCTCCTGCCCTCCGTGCCCTAGGAGTGCAACAGAAGACAATGACCACGGTTCTTGCAAAAGTGACCGACCCCACAATCCTTCTTCTTACCTCCCTGACTCACCTCAAGCTCTCATCTGACTCCAGAGGTCCAGGGCAAGACCTGCAATGCCAAACACAAACACTAAAAGCACTGAACATGTTCTTCTCAATTCTAAGCTACCGCACACACACACAAACCCCTTACCTCCTCACAGCTGGAAAAGCAACCTGGAGCAATGCCCCACAAGACTACTAATGGGTTGACTGCAGGAAAAGCTCTGCTCTGCTTTATGCTTGTAAAGACTGAAAAAAAATGCCTGACACGCTTTTAAACGACCAACTCATGCAGTCAGGATATAAAGAACAAGGTCTAAAGAGCAGGCTTAGCACCTTTAGTCCTAGCAGTGATGTGGAAGCACCAACACAGATCACAATCAAATACACTCATTGAGCAGACAAGCTGTACTAACCAACCCACTGTAAGATCGTGCTATAAAATGCCCCGCTTTCTTCTTCTCATCCCTATGGCACATTTCAGACCTATTCCTGCTATCCTGATGCTGTTCCCCACCCCCTTCTCACAAAAACTAGTCTTTCTGCTTAATTTTTATAGTGTTTTAAGTCTCAAGCCAAAATTACTGCGCAGCTATCCCATACTATGCACCTGGGTGTTTACTGCACCCACCCAATTAATTTCCATCATCTGCAGTAACAGCAGTTAGAAAAAAAAGAACAGAAACCAGAAATCCAGCCACATAACATTTTAGAGGCAAACACCCTGAAATACTAACTACATCAGACTGTAAAGAACCGGCGCCCTCTATACTTTAAAAGTGAGAAATAAACAAGCTAAAAACCATTCTTAAACCTTTCCCTGCCAAAAATCACCAGTTCTTTAACAGCTTCTACATCCCAAAACAACATTAATGTTCTGCTTTGGTCTTCTTTAAACCTAAGCATTGAAGTTAGATTTTATAAGAGCCCAGACCCAAAGGCACCCTTGAAAAATCTCCTAGTCATATAACTAGTATATACATTCAGTAACCACAACCATGACCATCATATGCAAAAACAAACAGAGACAAAAGAGAAGGAATGAGAACAAAAACAAACCTTGCCATAACTTCTGTGCCTGAGAGCAACCAAAAAAATCTGCTTAGCTCAAAACCACCAATAACAATAGCACCTCAAAGAAAACCACAGCACAAAAGAGTTTACTGGTACATGCACACATAAACACTAAGGTAGCTTAAAATATTTAGCCCAGAAAAAATCATTTCAAAGAACTCAAAAAACAAAAGCAGAAACAAAGCACAAAGCATTAAATCCACAAAACCCCCAAACACCTTACCTTCAAGAGAGCCAAACCCAATAGAAGCTCCTTGGTTGGAAGCTGTGCCTTATATACCCCAGGCCCTACCCACAGCCCCTCCCTCACAGCCCTGGCTCAGGGGTGGGTCAAACCAGCAGCTGGGGTAAATACAGCCTGACAAGGTACAGCTGGCTCTTTTGGTTTCTGGCTTTACCTTTTTGGCCTTCTTTTGCTGCCTTAGATTTACATTCAGAACTCACAGACTGCACAGCTTCACCTTTATGCAGTTAGGCTCTGAATTATATTTGGTTTCAGACCACACAGGGTTTTTCTGTCTCAGGTTCTGGGGCTCAGACTCACATGGGTTTGCTTCCACACAGACTGGTTCAGTCTCATGTATTTAAACTGCACAGACACTCCAGCTCAGACTTGGGCCCAACCTGGCATTCACTGACTCACACATCCACACAAATCATACATTGAGGCTAGCACAGACTCCCTGGCTCAGACTTGCTCTCACACTTTAAGTGAAAAAAGACATTCAGGTTATTTAGCCAAGGTGAGCCATGCTTGGAACACCCAAGTAACAACTTATTTCAGGGTTTTGCCATTTTCCTAAAACTGTATTTTTACTTCTTGTTAGTGTTTTCCAAGGGGTGTACACGTTAGAATAAAGGGATGGAAAACCTTTCAAGTTTAGTGGGTGAGTAGTGAAGTGACAGGAGAGAGAAATGGCACTTGCTGAGGTCACTTTTTCCAAGCATTGTGGTCATTTGTCTCTATTGCACTCCTAGGACCTGGAGAGAAGGAGAGGCTCAGTGTTGGACTCTGCTATGGGATTGGAACAGGAAAATATAATGTTGAGGAGCTTTGAAGGAGGAAGAGGGCTGTTGCAGACTGGGCCAGTATTGGTGGGTGGGGTGGTGGTGATGATGATGGCCAGCACAGGGTGTTCCTCTTGGTTCCTTTGTTTGTTGCAGGTTATACAGAGGAACTTGGCAGCTGTGGCAGGGGCCCCAGACTTTGATGTGGGTGTTCTGAGCATCTAGGGCAGCTTGAGACCCATGGCACTATGGAAGTTAAGTAGAAGGATTGCTGCTTGGGACTGGAGGGTGAGAGACAAGGTCAGGAGGGCAGGAAGGGGTTTGAAGTGTAGCATGGGGCTGGGGGGAAGGCAGGGGTTACTTTGCAGCATGAGTTTACATGGGTAGCTTACCCAGTTTAGCACAGCACCGTTTAGCACAGTTCAGACCAGTTTAGCCTACCCCAAACCAGTTTAGCCCAGTTCAGACAAGTTTGTCCCAGTTCAGACCACTCCAGCCCACTTTAGCCCACTTCAGACAGGCCTAACTCAGTTCAGAACAGATTAGCCCAGTTAAGGCAGGTTTAGCACAGTCACGTCTGGTTTAGCCCAGTTCAGACCAATATAGCCCAACACAGCACAGTCTGGACCAGTTTAGCCCAGTCTACTCCAGTTTAACCCAGCCCACTTTAGCCCAGTGCACACCAGTCCAGCCCACTTTATCTCACTTCAGACACTTCACCCCAGTTCAGCCCAGCCCGTTTAGCCCACTTTAGCCCAGCGCAGCCAACTTTAGCACAGTCCATTCCAGTTTAGCCCAGCCCACTTTAGCCCAATTCAGACCAGTTTAGCCCTGTTCAGATCAATTTAGCCCAGCCCAGTTCAGCCCAGTTTAGCCCAGCCCAGCCTAGACCACTCAGCCCAGTTTAGCCCAATTCAGACCTGTCCAGACCAATTTAGCACAGTTCAGCAGGGTTTAGCCCAATTCAGACCACTCCAGCACACCTTAGCCCCGTTGAGCCCACTTTAGCCCACTTCAGCCCAGCCCAGCAGTTTAGCCCAATTCAGCCTAGTTTAGCCCAATTCACATCTATCCAGATCAGTTTAGCACTGTAAAGCCCAATTTAGGCCAGTCCAGCCCAGTTTAGCCCAGTCCAGCAGTTTAGACCAGTCCAGCCCACTTTAGCACAACGCAGCCCAGCACAGTACACTTCAGCCCACTTTAGCCCATCCCAGCCCAACATAGCACAGTTTAGTCCAGCCCAGTTTAGCCCAGTCCAGCTTGTCCCAGCCCAATTTAACCCAGTTCAGCCCAGTTTACAGCCCAGCCCACTCCAGCTCAGCCCAGACGAGCTGAGCCCCATTAGGCCCAGTTTAGCACAGTTCAGCCCTGTTTAGCTCAGCCTACACCTGATCAGCCACTTCAAGCCCAGTTCAGCCCAGCCCAGCAAAACTTACTCCAATTCAGTCCAGTCCAGCCCCATTCAGACCAGCTCAGATCTGCCCAACCCAGCGGACAGAGCCAGTAAACTCCCTATTACCCCCCCACTACCTCCAGTCCCCCCTAAGTGCCGCCCCCCATTGCCCTACATGGGGGTCTATTGGGGGATTAGGGGGCATATGGGGACAGCAGAGCTCCCTGCCTGCAGCAGAGCCCCTCCCATTCCTCCCATGGGTGCCCCATAGCCCCCCATGTCCCCACATTGGCTGTGCGTACAGCAGAGCAGGGGAGAATGGGGTATTATGGGATGTGGGGTATGGGGTATGGAATATGGGATGTGACATGGCGTATATTATGTGATATTGGGTATGGGGTATAGTGTTATGGGTTATGCAATTTAGGATATTATGGGATGTGGGGGTCACACATTGGATCCCCACCACCACAACTTCCCACCACTCTTTTGAGCAAAAACCACTTTATTTGGTCAACCAGGTCCCACCAGCCAATGGGAGCGCAGGGGTGGAGCTTCAGCCACATCCAGAGGCCAATGGGAGCACAGGAGGCAGAGCTTCGGTCCCAAAGGGGGTGTGGCCTACCCGGTTGCCACGGTGACTGCGATGATGACGGCGACGATGACTCCAGTGATGACCACGCACCCGGCCACCAGCAGCTTCTTCTATTGGAGGATGGGGGGGGTCACATGGGATTGGGGGGGGGGGGGGTGAGGGGGCTAAGGGGTGGGGCCTGACCTTTCGTGCCCCCTGCTGGCTCCGTGTCGCTGCCTCCAAGTGCCGGGTGCCCTTGTCCAGGCGGGAGCCGGAGTCCTGGATGTGGTGCTCGATGCGGTCCAGCAGCTCCCCCTGCGCCATAGGGACCAGTATGGACCAGTACAGAGCAGTATGGACAGGTACGGACCAGTACAGAGCAGTATGGACAGGTACGGACCAGTACAGAGCAGTATGGACAGGTACGGACCGGTACAGAGCACTATGGACAGGTACGGACCGGTACAGAGCAGTATGGACCGGTACGGATCAGTACAGAGCACTATGGACAGGTACAGACCAGTACAGAGCAGTATGGACAGGTACAGACCAGTACAGAGCACTATGGACAGGTACAGACCAGTACAGAGCAGTATGGACAGGTACAGACCAGTACAGAGCAGTATGGACAGGTACAGACCAGTACAGAGCACTATGGACAGGTACAGACCAGTACAGAGCACTATGGACAGGTACGGACCAGTACAGAGCAGTATGGACAGGTACAGACCAGTACAGAGCAGTATGGACAGGTACAGACCAGTACAGAGCACTATGGACAGGTACAGACCAGTACAGAGCAGTATGGACAGGTATGGACCAGTACAGAGCAGTATGGACAGGTACGGATCAGTACAGAGCAGTATGGACAGGTACGGACCGGTACAGAGCAGCATGGACAGGTATGGACCAGTATAATCCAGTCATAAATCACTATAATGCAGTAATTACCCAGTATGGGGTAATATGGACCAGTAATAAGGCAATAACAGCCCAGTATAATGCAGTAATAAACCAATATGGACCAACACAGAGCAGCAGTAAGGCACTACGGTCCAATGTGGACCAGCATACAGCAGTAATAAGCAGCATGGACCTATACAGAGCAGTGTAATGCAGTAGTAAACCAGTAAAACCCAGTATGGGCACATATGGACCAGTAACAAATCCATACGAACCAATCCAGACCAGTATAACCCAGCGTGCCCTGACCACCCCATTGCCCCCATTGTCCCCATTGCCCCACCTGCTGCTCCAGGCTGGTGCCCAGCACGGTGAAGAGCTCCCCCAGGTCCCGGAGGCCCCGCTCCAGGCGCTGCAGCTCCCGGTGCCGCAGCCCCACCTCCTGCAGCGCCCGCGACGCGCCCGGAACCTGCACCCACGGGTGCGACTGATCACCATTGGCACCCATTGACTGCCATTGGCACCCACCGATCACCATTGGCACCCATTGACTGCCATTGGCACCCACCGATCACCATTGGCACCCACTGACTGCCATTGGCACCCACTGATCACCATTGGCACCCATTGACTGCCATTGGCACCCACTGATCACCATTGGTACCCATTGATCACCACTGGCACCCACTGATCACCATTGGCACCCACTGACTGGCATTGGCACCCACTGATCACCATTGGCACCCATTGACTGCCATTGGCACCCACCGATCACCATTGGCACCCATTGACTGCCATTGGCACCCACCGATCACCATTGGCACCCATTGACTGCCATTGGCACCCACCGATCACCATTGGCACCCACTGACTGCCATTGGCACCCACTGATCACCATTGGCACCCACTGACTGCCATTGGCACCCACTGATCACCACTGGCACCCATTGACTGCCATTGGCACCCACTGATCACCATTGGTACCCATTGATCACCACTGGCACCCACTGATCACCACTGGCACCCACTGACTGGCATTGGCACCCACTGATCACCATTGGCACCCATTGACTGCCATTGGCACCCACTGATCACCACTGGCACCCACTGACTGCCATTGGCACCCACCGATCACCATTGGCACCCATTGACTGCCACTGGCACCCACTGATCACCATTGGCACCCATTGACTGCCATTGGCACCCACTGATCACCATTGGCACCCATTGACTGCCATTGGCACCCACTGATCACCATTGGTACCCATTGATCACCACTGGCACCCACTGATCACCATTGGCACCCACTGACTGCCATTGGCACCCACTGATCACCACTGGCACCCATTGACTGCCATTGGCACCCATTGACTGCCATTGGCACCCACTGACTGCCATTGGCACCCACTGATCACCATTGGCACCCATTGACTGCCACTAGCACCCTTTGATCACCACTGGCACCCATTGATCATCATTGGCACCCATTGACCGCCACCATGGCTCCCACTGATCACCACTGACACCCAGTGACCGCCACCATGGCACCCATGGGTGCCGCCTCACGTTGCTGATGAAGATCTCGCTATGCCCCGACTCCAGGATCTGCTCCAGCTCCTCCTCTGTGACCGGGGCGCTGCCGGCTGCATCCCAGTGGATCCCAGTGCATCCCAGTGCCATCCCAGTCCATCCCAATGCATCCCAGTGCCCTCCCAGTCCATCCTAATGCATCCCAGTGCCCTCCCAGTCCATCCCAATGCATCCCAGTGCCCTCCCAGTCCATCCCAATCCATCCCAGTGCCCTCCCAGTCCATCCCATTCCATCCCAGTCCCCTCCCAGTCCATCCCATTCCATCCCAGTCCCCTCCCATTCCATCCCAGTCCATCCCAGTGCCCCCTATTCCATCCCATTCCATCCCAGTCCATCCCAGTGCCCCCTATTCCATCCCATTCCATCCCATTCCATCCCAGTCCCCTCCCAGTCCATCCCAATCCATCCCAGTGCCCTCCCAGTCCATCCCATTCCATCCCAGTCCCCTCCCAGTCCATCCCAGTCCATCCCATTCCATCCCAGTCCATCCCAGTCCATCCCAGTCCCCTCCCTGTCCCATCCCATTCCCATTCCTGCTCTCACCCACGTGCAGCTGACGCTGAACCCTCTCGAGGCGCCGCTGCCGGAACCAGGCCTGAGCCGCGTGGCAGCGCCCGGTGAGCGCCAGGAACTGCTGAGTCAGCGCCGCATGCTGGGGGGGGGGGGGGGGAAACGACACGACCCCCAAAACAGTTCATGGGGACCCCAGAACCCATCGGGGACCCCGAAAACAGAGTCGGGGAGCCCAAAAACACCTTTGGGACCCCAAAAATGCCTCTGGGGACCCCAAAACACCTTTGGGACCCCAAAAACGCCTCTGCGGACCCCAAAAACACCTTTGGGACCCCAAAAACGCTTCTGGGGACCCAACCCCCCCCTTACCTGGGTGCGCTTCACCCGGGCCCTGATGCTGTTCCTGTGCTCGCCCTCCTCCTCCTTCGCTGGCTCCAGCGCTGTGGGGGCACCCCAAAGATATGGGGTGCTATGGGGTGTCTATGGGGCACTATGGGGTGTCCATGGGGTGCTATGAAGCACTATGGGATGTCTATGGTGCGCTATGGGGAGTCTATGGAGCACTATGGGGTGTCAATGGGGTGCTATGGGGTGTCTATAGAGCACTACGGGGTGTCTATGGAGTGCTATGGGGTGTCTATGGGGTGTCTACGGGGTGCTATGGGGTGTCTACGGGGTGCTATGGAGTGTCTATACGGCACTGTGGGGTGTCCATGGGGCACTATGGGGCATCTATGGAGTGCTATGGGGAGTCTATTGGGTGCTATGGGGTGTCTATAGAGCACTATGGCGTGTCTATGGGGCGCTGTGTGGTGTCTATGGGACACTATGGGGTGTCTATGGGGCACTGTGGGGTGTCTATGGAGTGCTATGGGGAGTCTACAGGGTGTTATGGTGTGTCTATGGGGTGCCACAGGGAGTCTATGGGGTGCTATGGGGTGTCTATAGAGCACTATGGGGTGTCTATGGGGTGTCTATGGTGCACTGTGGGGTGTCTATGGGGCGCTATGGGGTGTCTATGGAGTGCCATGGGGAGTCTATGGGGTTCTATGGGGTGTCTATAGAGCACTATGGGGTGTCTATGGGGTGCTGTGTGGTGTCTATGGGGCACTATGGGGTGTCTATGGGGCATTATGGGGTGTCTATGGAGTGCTATGGGGAGTCTACGGGGTGTTATGGTGTGTCTATGGGGTGCCACGGGGAGTCTATGGGGTGTCTATAGAGCACTATGGGGTGTCTATGGGGTGTCTATGGTGCACTGTGGGGTGTCTATGGGGCGCTATGGGGTGTCTATGGGGCGCTGTGGGTCCCACCTTGCAGCCGGGAGCGGATCTCCTGCGTCAGTTTCTGGATCTCATCCCGGTGGAGCTGCAGATCCCGCTGCTGCCCTGGGGGGAGAGACCACAGTGGGAGCCCCCAGACCCCTATAGACCCCTATACTCCCACATAACCCCCCATAACCTCCCTATAGGCCCCCATAACCACCTTATATCCTCCCTATAGCTCCCTATAATGCCACTATACCCTACTATAACCACTCTACATCCCCCCATAACCACGTATAGCTCCCCATAATCCTCCCATAGCCCTCCCTAACTGTGCTATAGCACCCCATACCCCCATAATCCACCTATAGGCCCCCTCAACACCACCTAGTCCCCCATAGCCCCCTTATAGCCACCCATAACCCTGCTATAGCCCCCCATAGCCCCCCCATAACCCTCCACAACCCCCCTATCCCCCACAACCCCCTTTTATCCTCCCTATAGCTCATGATAGACCCCCATATCCCTGCTATAGACCTCCTATAGCCCACTATAGACCCCTACAGCACCCCTAAAGCTCCCCTATAGCCTACTATAGACCCCTATCGCCCACTATAGAAACCTATAGCCCCCCTATAGACCACTATAGATGCCTATAGCCCCCCTATGGCCCACTATAGACCCCTATAGCACCCCTATAGCCCACTATAGACCCCTATAGCCCCCCTATAGCTCCCCTATAGACACCTATAGCCCCCTGCAGCCCCACTCTAGCCCTCTCTAGCCCCCTGTAGCCCACTATAGCCCCCCTATGGCCCACTATAGCCCCCCATAGCCCCCCTATAGCCCCTCTATAGCCCCCCTATGGCCCACTGTAGACCCCTATAGCCTCTCTATAGCCCCCCCATGGCCCACTGTAGACCCCCATAGCCCCCCTATAGCCCCTCTATAGCCCCCTATAGCCCCATACACACCCTCGGGGGGCAGGGGGCTGCCCAGCACCGCCTCCTGCAGCAGCTCCAGCGCCTCCAGCTTCAGCTCCAGCGCCCGCAGCGCCGCCCGCACCCGCCCCGCCTGCAACACACCAAGGACACGCCAAGGACACGGTAAGGGCGTGTAAATGGCGTGTAAATGGCGTGTCAAGGGGGCACTCACCTGCAGGAGTGGGTTCAGCCTCATTAAAGCCACTTTGGCCCCATCGTCGGCCTCCTCGTCCTCCTCCGAGCTGCTGCCGTAGGCCTGTGGGTGACATACAGGGGTCTGTAGGGGTCTGTGAGGGGTCTATAGGGGTCTGTAATGGGTCTATAAGGAGTCTGTAGGGGTCTGTAAGGGGTCTATAGGGGTCTGTAAGGGGTCTATAGGGGTCTATAAGGGGTCTGTAAGGGGTCTATAAGGGGTCTATAGGGGTCTGTAAGGGGTCTATAAGGGGTCTATAAGGGGTCTATAGGGGTCTGTAAGGGGTCTATAGGGGTCTGTAAGGGATCTATAGGGGTCTGTAAGGGCTCTATATGGGTCAATGGGTCTGTAGGGGTCTATAAGGGGTCTGTAAGGAGTCTGTAGAGGTCTATAAGGGGTCTATATGGGTTTGTAAGGGGTCTGTAGGGGTCTGTAAGGCTTCTGTAGGGGTCTGTAAGGGGTCTGTAGGGGTCTGTAAGGGGGCTATAGGGGTCTGTAAGGGGTCTGCAGGGGTCTATAAGGGGTCTATAGGGTTCTGTAAGGGGTCTATAGGGATCTGTAAGGGGTCTATAAGGGGTGTATAGGGCTCTGTAAGGAGTCTGTAAGGGGTCTATAGGGGTCTGTAAGGGGTCTATAGGGGTCAATGGGTGTGTACTGCAGTCTATAAGGACACATAAGGGGCCATATTGCGGTCCATGGGTCCATACAGGGGTCCATAGGGCCATATGGGGTTCAACGAGGCCATACAGGGGTCCATAGGGCCATATGGGGCTCAACGAGGCCATACAGGGGTCCATAGGGCCATATGGGGCTCAACGAGGCCATATGGGGGTCCATGGGGCCATATGGGGGTCCATGGGGACACAGTGGGGTGCATGAGGCTACATGGGTGTCCATGGGGCCACAGTGGATTCAGTGTGTCCGTACTGGGGTCCTTGAGCCCCATTTTTGGTCCACTTTGGGTCCTTTTGGGTCCTTTCGGGGTCGCTCCCCCCCTACCTGGCGGAGCTCCCGCGTCCTGTCCCGCATGGCGGCGCCCTTCCTCCCCCGGCCGGATGCGGAAGTGCCGGCAGCCGCTCTGCGCCTGCGCCGGGGCCTTGGAGGCGGAAGTGGGGGAGGACGCTCTGGCCCTGGCGGTCGCCGAACCATAGAGAGGAGCCGGGGGGGGGGGGGGGGGGGGGGGGGGGGGGTGTCCTCTAAAGGGGGAGGGCGGGGAGCATTAGGACCAGGATATGGGATGTGGGATCCCCAAAAAGGGATCTGGGATCCAAAAATGGGATCTGGGACCCAAAAAATGGGATCTGGGACCCAAAAGTGGGATGTTGGATCCCAAAATGGGATCTGGGATCCAAAAATGGGATCTGGGACCAGAGAAATGGGATTTAAAACACCAGAAATGGGATCTGGGATCCCAAAATGGGATCTGGGATCCAAAAATGGGATCTAGGACCCCAGAAATGGGATCTGGGACCCAAAAAAATGGGATCTAGGACCCAAAAGTGGGATGTGGGATCCCAAAATGGGATCTGGGAGCCAAAAAATGGGATCTGGGACTCCAAAAATGGGATCTGGGAGCCCCAAAATGGGATCTGGGAGCCAAAAAAATGGGATCTGGGACCCAAAAGTGGGATGTGGGATCCCAAAATGGGATCTGGGAGCCAAAAAATGGGGTCTGGGACCCCAGAAATGGATCTGGGAGCCCCAAAATGGGATCTGGGAGCCAAAAAATGGGATCTGGGACCCCAGAAATGGGATGTGGGAGCCAAAAATGGGATCTGGGAACCCCAAAATGGGATCTGGGAGCCAAAAATGGGGTCTGGGACCCCAGAATGGGACCTGGGAGCCAAAAATGGGATGTGGGACCCAAAAAATGGAACCTGGGAGCCAAAAAATGGGATCTGGGAGCAAAAAAATGGGATCTGGGACCCCCGAAATAGGATGTGAGACCCAAAAAATGGAATGTGTGACCCAAAAAATAGGATGTGAGACCCACAAATGGGATCTGGGACGCCCAAAGTGGGATCTGGGATCACAATATGGGATGTGAGACCCCAGAAATGGGATCTGGGGACCCCAATAACGGGCGCTGGCATCACGCTATGGGGCTATATTGGGCTCTGGGGCCCCCTTTCCCCTGCTCCCATTGGTCCATCCCCCCCAAGGCCCCGCCCCCTTCTCCGCAGCCCCCCTCCCCCCCCCAGCCTCAGCCGCAGCCGCAGCCCCTCCCCCCACCTCCCCCTCCCTTCCCCCCCCCCCCCCCCCCAGCAGCACGCGCCGCGTCCGGCCCCTCCCCCCTCCCCCCCAACCCCCCCCCCCCAACCCCCCCCCTCGCCATGAAGGACCGGACCCAGGAGCTCCGCAGCGTGAGAGGGGGACGGGGGGGGCTATGGGGGACATAGGGGCTGTAGGGGGCTATGGGGCTGTGGGGGGTATAGGGGGCTATGGGGCTATAGGGGATATAAGGGGCTATGGGGGATATAAGGGGCTATGGGGGATATAGGAGACTGTGGGGCTATGGGGGCTATAGGGGACTATGGGGTTATGGGTGATATAGGGGGCTGTGGGGGCTATAGGGGGCTATGGGGCTATGGGGGATATAGGGGGCTATGGGGGCTATAGGGGGCTAGGGGGCTATAGGGGATATAAGGGGCTATGGGGGATATAGGAGACTGTGGGGAGTATAGGGGGCTATGGAGGCTATAGGGGGCTATGGGTGATATAGGGGGCTGTGGGGGGTATAGGGGACTATGGGGGCTATAGGGGGCTATGGGGCTATGGGGGATATAGGGGGCTGTGGGGGGTATAGGGGACTATGGGGGCTATAGGGGGCTATGGGGCTATGGGGGATATAGGGGGCTGTGGGGGTATAGGGGGCTATGAGGGATATAGGGGCTATGGGGGATATAGGGGGCTATGGGGAGAATAGAGGGTATAGGGCGCTAGGGGGGTATAGGGGATATAGGGGACTATGGGATGCTACAGGGGATATAGAGGGAATAGGGGGCTATGGGATGCTGTGGGGCTATGGGGGATATAGAGGTTATAGGAGGGTATGGGGCTTTGGGGGAATATAGGGGGTATAAGAGGTATAGGAGTCTATGGGGGACATACGAGGTATTGGTAGCTATGGGGCTAGGGGTGCTAGGGGAGATATAGAGGGTATAGGGGGCTATGGTGCTGTGGGGGATAGAGAGGGTTATGGGGCTATTGAGGGGAAATAAGGATTATGGGGTATATGGGGTTTTATGTGGGGATATAGGGAGCTATGGGATGCTGTGGGGGTTATGGGGGCATATAGAGTGCTGTATGGGATCCTGGGGGATGCTGTCGGGGCTGTGGGTGCAATGGGGACTGGGGGTTTGCAGTGGGTGCTGTGTGATGCTGTGGGCTACTGTGGGGGCTATGTGGTGCTATAGGCGCTATGGGAGGATATGGGGTGCTATGGGAGGATATGGGGTGCTATGGAGGCTATGGGGTGCTATGGGATGCTACGGGTGCAATGAGGACGGGGGGCTGCAGTGGATGCAGTGGGGTGCTGTGGGGTGCTATGGGGTGCTGTAGGGCTATAAGGATGCTATGGGATGCTTTGCGTGCTATGGGGTGCCATGGGTTGTTCTGGGTGCTATACGGTGCTTTGGGATGCTGGAGGGATATAGGGATGCTATGCGGGCTATGGGTGCCATAGGATGCTGTGTGTGCTATGGGGTGCAATGGGATGCTGGGGGCTGTAATGGGTGCTGTGGGGTGCTATGGGGGCTATAGGATGTATGGGGTGCTGCAGGCTGCTGTGGGCTTCTGTGGGAGCTATGGGGTGCAATGAGGGTTACAGGGTGCTATAGGGTGCTACGGCAGTTATGGGTTGCAGTGGGGGCTATGGGGGCTATGGGCTATGGGGTGCTTTGTGCGCTACAGGCTGCCATAGGGTGCTCTGGGGGTCATTGGCTGTAGTGGGATGCTGGGGTCTGCAGTGGGTGCAGTGGGGTGCTGTGGGGGGCTGGGGGGCTGGCTTTATGCAAATGATTCCTGGCGGGAGCCAATGGCATGAGGGGGGGCAGTGGTGCAGGGGTGGGGCTATGCAAATGAGCCGGAGCCACGCAGCCAATCAGGTGAGGGAGGATCAGGCCATGCGGATGACTCACCCCCCCCAGCCCGCAGCCAATCACAGCGCTGCGCTCTAGGGCAGGCAGCCAATAGCTTTCAATGTATGCAAATGAGCCTGGATGCGGGGGGGAGACAGCCAATGGGGCATCAATGAGGGTGGGAGGGGTGTGGTCAGCGCTGGCCACGCCCCCCTGATGCAGAGAGCGCCCCCTGCAGGCGAAGGACAGCGACGATGAGGACGAGGTCGTCCACGTGGACCGAGACCACTTCATGGACGAGTTCTTTGAGCAGGTGTGGGGCTGCCCCATAGCGACCCATAGGGACCACAGAGACCCCAGAGAGACCTATAGGGACCCACAGAGACCCCATAGCAATCCATAGGGACACACGGGGGCATATAGAGACCCTACAGAGATCCTATAGTGACCCATAGAGACCCATAGGGACACACAGAGACCCCACAGAAACCCTATAGTGACATATACAGACACACAGGGACCTATAGAGATGCATAGAGACCCTATAACGACCCATAGGGACACATAGAGACCCTATAAAGACCCATAGAGACCCACAGCGTCACACAGAGATCCATAAACACCCATAGAGATCCATAGTGCCTTATAGAGCCCTATAGCACCCCACTGTGACACCCACAATTGCCCCATAGTTCCCTAAAGCACCCTAGATAGTCCTGCAACAGTGTATAGACATCCGTAGCACCTTATGTCACCCAAAGACAACCCTACAGCAGTCATAGAGCCCCTACAGCACCCATAGAGACATCCCCATACCCCATATCCCTGCCCCATACCCCATATCCCTGCCCCATACCCCATATCCCTGCCCCATATCCCATGTCTCACAGGTGGAGGAGATCCGGGGCTGCATCGAGAAGCTCTCGGAGGACGTGGAGCAGGTGAAGAAGCAGCACAGCGCCATCCTGGCCGCCCCCAACCCTGATGAGAGTGAGCGGGACATGGGGGGCAATGGGGGGATATGGGGCAATGGGGGCAATGGTGGGGTCCAGGGCCATGGGGGTAAACGGGGTAATGGGGCAATGGGGACATCCATGGGGACATGGGGAGTGATGGGATGGAGGGACACCAGGTGCATCTAGAGACCCATAGAGACCCATAGAGACCCTAGAGACCCTAGAGACCCATAGAGACCTGTACCTGTGTTCCCCCAGAGACGAAGCAGGAGCTCGAGGACCTCACGGCTGACATCAAGAAGACGGCGAACAAAGTGCGCTCCAAGTTGAAAGGTAACCAGTTGGGTTGACCCCCTTGGGTTGAGCTCCTTGGGTTGGCCCCCTTGGGTTGAGCTCCTTGGGTTGACCCGCTTGGGTTGGCCTCCTTAGGTTGAGCTCCTTGGGTTGACCCCCTTGGGTTGGCCCCCTTGGGTTGGCCCCCGTGGGTTGCGTGATGGAGGTCCACCATGCATGGAAGCTATATGTGATGGACAACCACCATGCATGGAGCCCATATATGACAGAGAACCCCCAATAACCACGACTGCAGGCACCCATAAGCCAGAAGCTCCACCACAAAGCCCCCCATTGCTCACCCCTTTGTACCCCACAGCCATTGAGCAGAGCATTGAGCAGGAGGAAGGTCTCAACCGCTCCTCGGCCGACCTCCGCATCCGCAAGACCCAGGTACCCCCTTCCCCTTCCCGTTGCCCTTCTCCTGCTCTTTGTGGCCACCTCCATCCACACGTGTCCTCCATCCACACGTGTCCTCCTGCTGCCCCCCCCCAGCACTCCACCTTGTCCCGCAAGTTCGTGGAGGTGATGACCGAGTACAACGCCACCCAGTCCAAGTACCGCGACCGCTGCAAGGACCGCATCCAGCGCCAGCTCGAGATCAGTAGGTCCCGCTCTATGGGGGGGGATGGGGGGAGCATGGACAGCAGCCACCATGGCGTGGGATGGGGGGGACCAAAGAGATTCCCATCACCCAACTGTCACCTCTTGTGCCCACAGCCGGCCGCACCACCACCAATGAAGAGCTGGAGGACATGCTGGAGAGCGGGAAGTTGGCCATCTTCACCGATGACGTAGGTTGGGGACGCTATGGGGCAGCTCGAAGCCATCAAGGGGTCCTTGGGGCACATAGAAGCCACCAGGAGACCCATGGGCAGGGCTGGAGGCTGAGGAGCCCCATGGGATGCCCTCACTGTCTCTGTGCAGATCAAGATGGACTCGCAGATGACCAAACAGGCCCTGAACGAGATCGAGACGCGACACAACGAGATCATCAAGCTGGAAACCAGCATCCGGGAGCTGCACGATATGTTTGTGGACATGGCCATGCTGGTGGAGAGCCAGGTATGGTTGAACCCCCCTTAGACCCATATGGACACAACCCAAAGCCATTGAGACCGTAAGAATTCCCCTTAGACCCATCTAGACCACATCCAAAGCCACTGAGACCACCTAGAACCAGCCTTAGACCCATCTAGACCCCATCTGAAGCCATGGGGACCACCAGGAACTCCCCTTGTACCCATCCCAAGTCTCAAGGGCCGGTTCCTCCTCCCCAAGGGCGAGATGATCGACCGCATCGAGTACAACGTGGAGCACTCGGTGGACTACGTGGAACGGGCCGTGTCGGACACCAAGAAAGCTGTCAAGTACCAGAGCAAGGCCCGAAGGGTGAGAGCTTGGGGCCCTCAGGTGGCCACTGGGGACACTGGGGTGGACACTGGGGGTGTCCCCATAACCTTCTCCTTCTCTCCTGTCTCCTCGAGTAGAAGAAGATCATGATCATCATCTGCTGCGTGGTGCTGGGGGTGGTCTTGGCCTCTTCCATTGGGGGCACCTTGGGCTTGTAGGGCCCCCATGAACCCCCCCTCCATCATCTCCTCCATCTCCTCCTCCATTCATGAGACTTAATGAAGAGACAGTGATTCCTGGAGCCAACCAATCGCAGCGGTTCCTTGGGCTCCGCCCATCCAATCATGGCGTCCATTGGCTGTTTGGCTCCTCCCCTTTGCTCCTTGGCTCCACCCCCTTGCCATGAGCCTCCATCCATGCGCTTGGGGGGAAGGGGGACGCACACTCGGGGGACAGGAGGTGGCCTCAAGGTGGGGGTAGAGGGGTCAATGGGGGTGATGCCCAAGGAGGGTCATGGGCTGGGTTGACCATAGGGAAGGACCACGGGGTGGGCTGACCATAGGGAGAAGTCTTCAGTTGACCACAGGGAGAGGTCTTGGGTTGGGTTGACCATAGGGAAGGGCCATGGGTTGGGTTGAGCATAGGGAAGGGCCATGGGGCAGGTTCACTCAATAGGGGGTCCCAGAGTGGGGGTTATGGGTCGGGTTGACCTTAAGGGATGGGTTGGGTTGGGTTGACCCATCTCATGGTCAATGGTGACGCCACCACCCATTGACCCAGCTGATGAGCACATATCCCAGCAGTTCGCTAACCCATTGCCTGCCTGAGCAACCAGTTGGTGACCCAACTGACCCACCCATCAACCATCCAACCACCCATCGACCATCCAACAACCTCACTGAGCACCCAACCACTCATTGACCATCCAACCACCACTGACCATCCAACCACCCATTGATCATCCAACCACCCGTTGACCATCCAACCACCCATTGATCATCCAACCACCCATTGACCATCCAACCACCCATTGATCATCCAACCACCCGTTGACCATCCAACCACCCATTGATCATCCAACCACCCGTTGACCATCCAACCACCCGTTGACCATGCAACCATGCAGTCAATGACCCAATGAACCCCTCAGTGACACAACCAATGACCCAAGGACATCATCATTCACCCAATGATATCATCAACGACCCAACAACCCCCTCAATGACCCAACCACTGACTCGATGACATCATCAATGACCCAACCAACCCAGTAACATCATGAATGACCCGATGACACCATCAATGACCCAGTGACCCCCTCAATGACCCAACCAACAACTCAGTGACATCAACGGCTCAATGACATCATCAATAACCCAACCAACAACCCAATCACATCATCAGTGACCCACCCAAGCCCTCAATGACGTCATCAATGACTCAATAACTCCCTCAATGACCCAACCAAGCACCCAATGACCGCATCAAGGACCCCTCTGTGTCCCCCTCAACCCATAGGTGCTCCCAGCCTCCCCGCGCTGCCCCCCCCGCTCTGTGTGTCCCTCGTGGTCTGTGATGTATTTGCTACAAAACCCATGTCACAAACGCAGTCGCCTCCGTCTCCTTCCTGCTCCGTGGGTTCCCATAGCTCCTATAGGGGCCCCTATAGCCCCACAGACTCCTGTAGACACCCTAAAGCCCCTAAAAGTCCATAGAGTCTCCCACCAACCCATAGAGCCCATATAGCCCCATAGGGCTCCCTATAGCCCCTCTAGGTCCACAGAGTCTCCCACTACTCTACATAGAGTCCGTATGACCCCCTAAAGCCCATATGGCCCCATAGGGCTCCCCATAGGTCCTCAAGGAGCCCAGATCCCATTGGACAAGGCAGGGGCTCGGTTTCCTTACAAATGTAATTGGTCAGAGTCAAAAGAGGGTGGGGCCAAAGGGGACAGAGCCAATGGGGTGTCCCCACCCCCCCTGGTTATGGGTCCGGGAGGTCGTCACTAAGGACCATGGGGGAGCCGAGCTGGAGGTCACGCTGGAGGCTCTCGAGGGCGGCGGGGCTGAGGCGATGAACCTCCAGCCAATCAGCGAGCAGCGAGGCCGAGAGTGGCGCTGAATCTCCTTGGCTGGGGGGCAAAGGGGGCGGGGCCTCAGTGCCGAGGCCGCCACCCCATTGGTCAGCTGGTGAATTCAAGTCAATCTCCTCTTACCTCTCCTTGGGGTCTCCAACCATGTCCAACGATTGGCTGAGGAACTCCTCCAGGTCGAAGCCCACCCCATAACCGGCGCCACTGCCCTTAGGAGTCACCGAGAAGACGGGGGGCAGCAGGTCCTCCACCTGTGGGGAGGGTGCAGTGATGACACACAAGGAGTGGGTCAGCCCACCTGTACTGAGCAGCCATCAACCCAACCCAAACCAAGTCAACTCAACCCAACTCAACCCAACCTAACTCAACCCAACTCAACCCAACCCAACCCAAACCAACCCAACCCAACTCAACCCAATCCAATCCAAACCAACCCAACCTAACTCAACCCAACACAACTCAACCCAACCCAATCCAAACCAAACCAACCCAACTCAACCCCACCCAACTCACCACAACTCAACCCCACCCAACCAAACTCAACCCAAGATGACTCCAGCAGCCCCACACCTGTGACTTGGAGAGCTGCTGTGTCACAGTAGCCACATCAGGGTCAGGCACCACAGCTCCAACAGCGGCTTCAGGCCACACCTCAGCCCCCGGCCAAGCCTCTGGGGGTGCCCCACAAGCTGGGGGGCAGAGAGGAGGTGGTGGCACTGGGGGTTGTGGGGCAGGGGGCGGCCGGGGGAGGGCCCCATCCCGCATCTTGGTCCAGCGTTCCAGGAGGTGCCGGTCGTCGTCAGTGAGGACCAGGCCTTGGAGCCCATCCCCACGGCCTTGGGGCTCGCGGCGTTCCCGCTCCCGCTGCTTCTTCTCCCGCTCCTTGGCCCGCTCCTGGCGCCGGCGTCGCTTCTCCTCCCGTTCCCGCTGCCGCTCGGCCGCCGTCACCGGGCGCCGGCCCTCTGGGGGCTCCGGTGCTGCGCAGGGGGGGTCTGGGATGGGGATAGGGATGGGGGGGAAGTGGGGGGGATCAGAGGGTAAGCTGAGCACAGGGAGATGGCAGCCAATAGCAGCCAACCCAACCCAACTAACACAATGCAACCAACCCAGCCCAACACAAACAACACAACCCAACCCATACCACCCAACGCAACCCACCGCAGCCCAACCAACGCAACCCACCCCACCCAACCAACCCAGCCAACCCAACCAACCCAGCCCAACCCAACTAACCCAACCCACCCAACCAACCCAGCCAACCCAACCAACCCAACCAACCCAGCCCAACCCAACCCAACGAACCCAGCCCAACCCAACCAACACAACCCAGCCCAACCCAAGCCAACCAACTCATCCCACCCACTCACCTTTACTCTTGTTCCTCATGGCCGACTTGAGCAGCGCAGCCTTGAGGGCAGCTTTGGTGTCATCAGAGATGGCTCCATCCCTCTTTGGCGCTGCAGGGGCGCCAGGCTCCGCCTTCACCTGCAGCGGTGACTCCACTGGCCCATCAGGCCCAGGGCTCACCATGTCCACATCGGCACAAGACCACGCGGGGCCATTGGGCGCTCCATTGGAGTCACCCACAGGACCACCACCATTGTTGACAGCTCCACCGACCCCATTGGTTGGCGCCAAGGAGATGTGGCGCCGGATCCCATCCCGGCGTGCGTGAAAGTCCTCAATCTCGGCCACGATGGCCGCCTTGATGTCCTCCTTGGTGAGTGCCCGGCGCTCGAAGGCGAAGTCAAAGGCCGGGACGCACTCGGGCTCGTCCTCAGGATCGTGATACTTGGCCAGGAACGGGTGCCTCAGCGCCTCCCCCACCCCAACCCTATCCCGTGGGTCAAACCTCAGCATCCTCCCCAACAGCGCCAAGGCCTCGGCGTCGGCATCGCCGAACAGGGACTCCCACGGCACGGCCGGGCGCGGGGGGAGGCTCTGGATGTACGCCCGCACCCGTTCGGCGCCGATGGCCCCCATCACGGCGGGCGGCGGCGTCCCCAGCACGGCCATGATGAGCTGGAGCTGATGGATGTAATTGCGGCCCGGGAAGAGCTGGCGCCTGCCGAGCATCTCGGCGAAGATGCAGCCCACGGACCACATGTCGATGGCGCGGGTGTAGCGGTGCAGGGACAGCAGCAGCTCCGGCGCCCGGTACCAGCGCGTGGCCACGTACTCGGTGAGGAAGGCCTTGGCATGGCGCGGGTCGGCGCCGAGCCCTCGGGCCATGCCGAAGTCGCCGATCTTGAGCTCGCAGTTCTCGTTGACCAAGAGGTTGCTGGGCTTGAGGTCCCGGTGCAGGACGTTGGCCGAGTGGATGTACTTGAGGCCGCGGAGGAGCTGGTAGAGGAAGTAGCGGACGTGTTCCAGGGTCAAGGGTTGGGAGGAGTGGATGATCTGGTGGAGGTCGGATTCCATCAGGTCCAGCACGACGTAGCTAAAGGGGGGGGGGCAGGAGGGGTGGTGCCGTGGGTCAGCCTCACCCATAATAGGGTCTAGAAGGGGGTGGAGATGGTGCTACGGGGTCTTCAACCCAATGGGGCTCCATCCCATGTGTCCTCCTGACCCATAATAGGGTCTAGAAAGGGTCTGAGATGGTGCTATGGGGTCACCAACCCAATGGGGCTCCATCCCATGTCTCCTCCTGACACACAGGAGGGTCTAGAAGCTGTTTGGGATGTCCCTATGGAGTCACCAATCCAATGGGGCTCCAGCCCATGTCTCTTCCTGACCCGTAATAGGGTCTAGAAGGGGTTTGGGATGTCCCTATGGGGTCACCAACCCAATGGTACTCCATCCCATGTCTTCTCCTGACCCATAATAGGGTCTAGAAAGGGTCTGAGATGGTGCTATGGGGTCACCAACCCAATGGGGCTCCATCCCATGTCTCCTCCTGACCCATAACAGGGTCTAGAAGGGGTTTGGCCTATCTCTATGGGGTCACCACCCCAATGGGGCTCCAACCCCCAGTCCTCCTGCCCCACAGGAGGGTCCCTGGGGCTCGGGGCGGTGGCCGTGGGGGGACGCACACGGAGCGGAACTCGCCGTAGGGCACGGTGGGTTTCAGGATGTCCTTGATGCCGATGATGTTGTCGTGCTTGAAGTGCTTCAGGATCTTCAGCTCCCGCAGGGTCCGCTTGGCGTTGGTCACCACGTCGAAGGCATTCGGGATCTTCTTGATGGCCACTTGCTGGCCTGGCGGCCCATGGGTGGGCATCACCAATGGCACCCAATGGACTCCCCCCAACGACACCCAATGGATCCCCCCTAATGGTACCCAATGGACCCCCACCAATGGCACCCAATGGCACCCAATGGATTCCGCCCAATGGCACCCAATGGATCCCCCCAATGGCACTCAATGGACCCCCCCCCAATGGTACCCAATGGACTCCCCCCAATGGCACCCAATGGATCCCCCCAATGGCACCCAATGGACTCCCCCCAATGGCACCCAATGGACCCCCCCAATGGTACTCAATGGACCCCCATCAATGGCACCCAATGGCACCCAATGGACCCCCCCAATGGCACCCAATGGACCCCCACCAATAGCACCCAATGGAGCACCTCCAATGGCACCCAATGGATCCCCCCAATGGACCCCTGGAATGGCAACCAATGGACGCCCCCAACGGCACCCAAGAGCATCCAATGGCACCCAATTGCACCCAATGGAACCACCCCCCATGGCACCCAATGACACCCAACGGACCCCCCCACCAGTGGCACCCAATGGACCCCAATAGCACCCAATAGCACTTAATGGCACCCAGTGGCACCCGATGGCACTCAATGGCGCCCTCACCGGTGTCGCGGCGCCGCGCGGAGCTGACGACGCCATAGGCGCCGGTGCCAATGGTCTCGATGACGTCATACTCGTCCCCCACCTCGAAGGTGACATCGAGCGCCCGCGCATTGAGCAGGGCCAGGCCCCCCCCGGCCCCACAGCGCCCCCCAGGTTCGGCCTCCGCCATCTGCGACCCACACGTGTGGGGCAAAATGGGTCAGGGCCACACAGACGGGACCTCCATGGGCTCAGACCCATAGATATGGGCCCTACATGGGGCCTATGTGGACTCAGACCCATAGATATAGGGCCTACATGAGCTCGGACCCATATATATGGGACGTACATGGGCTCAGACCCATATATATAGGGCCTACATGGGCTCGAACCCATAGCTATGGGCCCTACATGAGCTCAGACCCATATATATGGGTCCTACATGGGCTCAGACCCATATAGATGTGACCCACAAGGTCACAGACCCACATATATGGGGATCCGAGGGTCTGGGATTCACATATATGGGGCACACATGGACTTAGATCAACATATATGAGACCTGCGTGGGCTCAGACCCCTACATATGGGGCATACATGGACTCAGACCCACCTATATAGGACCTACAATGCCTCAGACTCACATACATGGGAAACCAAAGGTTTGAGCCCCACATACCCCATGGACCACCACAGCCGGGACCCCCACAGCCTCAGACCCACACATAAAGGCCCCACTTATCCGTTCCCTCCCCATCAATGGGTCTGAGCCCCACATCTCCAATCCCCGCACCCCCCCACCCCGTGCTCCCTCTGCCCCACAGACCCAGCCACACACGACTCCCCCCATCCCTGCCCCATAGCGATGGGGCCGTTGCCATGGCAATGGGGGCACCGGGACCTCCGACTTCCCCCCCCCAATCGGCACTCACCGCCCCTCTGCTCAATGGAGCCCGGAAATGGCGCGCCCCGCGCGGCCACGCCCCCTCCGCTGATATCACGGCCGGCGGCCAATGGGAGCGCAGGGTGGGAGGGGATGAATGAAGGGCGGTGACGTCACAGAGGGCGGGGTTTAGGCGCCTTAGGGGGTGAATGGGGACGGTCCGGACCCATAAGTGGGGTTAATGGAGGGGATGGGGGGGCCCGGACCCCCAAGTGCGCCCTATAGGTGGTGTTAGGGGCAGCCAATGGGTCTGGGACCCCCAAGTGCAATGGGGGGGCAATGGGGGGCACTATAGGGTAGTGGGGGGCAATAAGGGTGCAATGGGGGGGCAATAGAGGGTACTGGAGGGCAATGGGGTGCTATGGGGGTAGAATACGGGCAATAGAGGGTAATGGGGGTATAATGGGGGGCAGTGGGGTACAATGGGGGGGCAATAGAGGGTAATGGGGGTATAATGGGGGGCAGTGGGGTACAATGGGGGGGCAATAGAGGGTAATGGGGGTATAATGGGGGGCAGTGGGGTACAATGGGGGGGCAATAGAGGGTAATGGGGGTATAATGGGGGGCAGTGGGGTACAATGGGGGTCCAATAGAGGGTAATGGGGGTATAATGGGGGGCAGTGGGGTACAATGGGGGTCCAATAGAGGGTAATGGGGGTATAATGGGGGGCAGTGGGGTACAATGGGGGTCCAATAGAGTGTAATGGGGGTATAATGGAGGGCAGTGGGGTACAATGGGGGGGCAAGAGAGGGTAATGGGGGTATAATGGGGGAGCAGTGGGGGGCAGTAGAGGGTAATGGGGCTGTGGGGGGCAATAGAGGGTAATTGGGGTATTATGGGGGGCAGTGGGGGTCAATGGGGGGCAATAGAGGAGCAATGGGGGCAATAGAGGGTAATGGGGTATAATGGGGGGCAGTGGGGGCAATGGGGGGCAAAGAGGGGCGTGGCCTCAATAAAAGGGCGGCACAGGCGCAGCTCTGATTGGTCGGTTTATTTCCCACGGACGCACAGAGAGCGGGCCAATGGCAGCGCAGGGGGCGGGGTTAAGGCGGCCGGGGGGCGGGGCCTGCTCGGGGCCGTGCCGCCATTGGTGCTTCCGCAGCCCGCCCTGGCCCGGAAGCGCCGGGGGCACAGCGGGCAGGCGAAGGGGCCCGGCTCGGGGGCCGCCATCTTGGCATCCAGTATGGCGGCCGCCACGGTGGGGGCGGCCATGTTGGCGCCTGGTTGAACCCCAATGGGGGCGGCCATATTGGCCCCAGCACCAGGCGCCACAATGACCCCGCACTGGGCCCCATATAGGGTCCGGACCCAGGGGCTGTATGGCCCCCACCATCCATGGCGGCCACACTGACCCCCGCTCCAGTACCTATATGGGCCCCTCCTCCCGTATTGAGTCCACCCGTGGCGGCCATACTGGCCCCCCCTCCAGCATCTCTACGGACCCCATCTTTGGTGGCCATATTGACCCTATGGATGGCGGCCACATTGCCCCCATCCATTGCAGCCATATTGAGCCCCGTCCATGGTGGCCACAGTGACCCTATGGATGGTGCCCACGTTGAGTCCATCCATGGCGCCCACATTGCCCCCATCCATGGGGCCCACACTGACCCCTATGCATGGCTCACCCACATTGCCCCCCACCGCTGCCGCCCCATGGCCGCCCTCAGCGCCCTTGCCGTGCGTCCCTCTCGTGCTTCCGGAGCGCCGAGACCCCCCGAAGCCCTTCCCGCACTCCCCACACTTGTGGGGCCGCTCCCCGGAGTGGGTCCTGCGGTGCTTGCCCAGCGCCCCCGCTCCCCGAAGCCCTTCCCGCACTCGCCGCACTTGTGGGGCCGGTCGCCGCTGTGGCTGAGCCGGTGCCCTTGAGGTCCCAGGAGGCCACGAAGCCCTTCCCGCAGTCGGCGCACTTGTGGGGCCGGTCGCCGGTGTGGGTGCGGCGGTGCAGGGCCAGGTCCGCGGGCTGCCGGAAGGCTTTGCCGCACTCGTGGCACCCGTAGGGCTTGAGCCCGCTGTGCCCGCGCTGGTGCCGCCGGTAGCTGGAGGGGTCGGCGAAGGTGCGGCCGCACTGGGGGGCAGAGGAAGGGGCGCTCCCCGGTGTGCACGCGGCGGTGGCTCTGGTAGGACGAGAGCTGCGTGAAGGCCTTGCCGCACTCGCGGCAGCCGTAGGGCTTGTGGGGCGCGTGGATGCGCTGGTGGCAGGCGAGCGACGAGGCGCGGCCGAAGCTCTTCCCGCAGTGGGGGCAGAGGAAGGGGCGCTCCCCGGTGTGCACGCGCTGGTGGTTGCGCAGGTCCTTGCGCTCGGCGTAGGCCTTGGGGCACAGGGGGCAGCCGTGGGGCCGCAGCCCCGCGTGGCCGCGCCGGTGCTTGCGGAACACCGAGGGGTCGGCGAAGGCCTTGGGGCAGTCGGGGCAGGCGAAGGGGCGCTCGCCCGTGTGGGCGCGCTGGTGGATGGCGAGCTTGGACTGGGAGCCGTAGGCCTTGGGGCAGGAGGGGCACGGGAACGGCGGCGCCGGGCGGCGCGCGCGGGGGACCGAGAGGAGGGGTTGGGGCCCCGGGGGCATCTGCGATGGAGGCGGCGTCTCCGGGGGCTTCCATGGGGAGCGTGGTTGGGTCGACGGGGGCCGTAGGGGTGGTTTGGGGCCTCTCGATGCTCTGGGGGTGCCTTTGGGTCCTGCGAGGGCATCCGCGATGGTGGCGGCATCTCCAGAGGCATCCACGGGGATTGCGGTTGGGTCGACGGGGTCCATAGGGGTGGTTCTGGGCGCTTTGGAGGCGCCTCTTGCTGCTTTGGAGGTGCCTTTGGGTGCTGCAAGGGGCACCCACAACGGCGGCGGCACCTCCAGATGCATCCATAGGGCTCATGGGGGCGTCTTCGGTCAGGTCAATGGGGGTCTACGGAGGTGGGTTTGGTGCCTTTGGGTGCTTTGGAGGCGCCTCTTGATGCTCTGGAGGTGCCTTTGGGTGCTTCAGGGGCATCCGCAACGGTGGCGGCACCTCCAGATGCATCCATAGGGATCGCGGTTGGGTCGATGGGGTCCACAGGGGTGGGATCGGTGCCTCTGGGTGCTTTAGGGGCACCTTTAGGGGTTCTGCAGGCCCCCCTTGATGCCTTGGAGGTGCCCCTACGCGCTCTGGAGCTGGCGGCACCTCCGGATACATCCGTAGGGCCCATGGGGGCATCGGCAGCGCTCGTGGTGGCGTCTCCAGAAGGTTCCACGGGGTCCATAGGGGTGGTGGTGGCACCTATGGGAGCGCCTATGGGACCTGTGGCGGTGCGCCGGGACCGGGTGGTGGCGCCCCTGTCCCTGTCCATGGTGCTGACGGGGGCACCCATGGCTGCGCCCACGGTGCCGGTGCCCGCGGCCCTGGCTATGGTGCTGGCACCATTGGGACCTCTGGACCTGGTGCTTCGGGACGGGGTGGTGGCACCTCGGGGCCTGGGGGGACGGGTGCTGCTGCGGGTGAGGCGCTGGGTGCCCCTATGGGTGCCAACGTCATGGTCACCGCTATGGGTGCCATCATGGTCATCACTATGGGTGCTATCACAATGGTCACCCTATGGGTGCCACCTTGGTCATCCCTATGGGTGCCATCATGGACGTCCCCTCCTGGCTCCTCCATGGCCCCTGTGGACATGGAGCCAGGTTGGATGAGGGTTATGGGGGGGAGCCCCATATGGGGTATGGGGGGAATGGGTGGCAATGGGGGGGTAATGGGGGGCAATAGGGGGTTAATAGGGGAACAACGGGGGGGCAATGGGGGTAACAGAGAGGCAATGACAGGCACTAGGGGTGCAATGGGGACGATGAAGCGTAATGGGGTGTCAGTGGGGGCCAATGGGGGTAATAGGGGACAATAGGGTCGGCAATGGGGGTCATGGGGGGCAATGGGGGGGCAATGGGGAGAGTTATTGGGGGCAAATAGGGGGTAATGGGGGTAATAGGAGATAATGGGGGGCCAGTGGGGTTCAATGGGGGGTGGGGAATGGGCTTCAATGGGGCTGTAACACAGGGCTCTATGGGGGGGGGGGCTTCCAGTAGGGGTGTTTCAATGGGGGGTGCCCGCAGTGCATGCCGGGCCGGGCCGTGCGGGGAGGGGGGGTCCATGCTGGTGCCCTATGGGGTGTGTGGGGCAATGTGTGGGGCAATGGGGCGCAATGGGGCGCAATGGGGGCCCGAGGCCTCACCTTGATCCGCGGGGGGTTCGGCGCTAGGGACCGGGCGGCGGCGGCGGCGGCGCGGGGCCGGGGGGCGGGGCCTGGGTAAGGGGCGGGGCCTGTGGGCGCTTCCGGGGAGGGAGGGAGCGGACGAGTGGGGGGGGTGCAGGGGAGGGATCGGGGTGAAATGGGGCGATTTCGGGGCTTTTAGGGGGGACTAGAGGGGGGTTGGGGCGGGATGGACCATTTTGGGGGGAATTGGGGTATTTTGAGGTGGGAATGGACCATTTTGGGGGGAATTGGGGTATTTTGAGGTGGGAATGGACCGTTTTGGGGGGAATTGGGGTATTTTGAGGTGGGAATGGACCATATTGGGGGGAATTGGGGTATTTTGAGGTGGGAATGGACCGTTTTGGGGGGAATTGGGGTATTTTGAGGTGGGAATGGACCATTTTGGGGGGAATTGGGGTATTTTGAGGTGGGAATGGACCGTTTTGGGGGGAATTGGGGTATTTTGAGGTGGGAATGGACCATATTGGGGGGAATTGGGGTATTTTGAGGTGGGAATGGACCGTTTTGGGGGGAATTGGGGTATTTTGAGGTGGGAATGGACCATTTTGGGGGGAATTGGGGTATTTTGAGGTGGGAATGGACCATATTGGGGGGAATTGGGGTATTTTGAGGTGGGAATGGACCATATTGGGGGGAATTGGGGTATTTTGAGGTGGGAATGGACCGTTTTGGGGGGAATTGGGGTATTTTGAGGTGGGAATGGACCATTTTGGGGGGAATTGGGGTATTTTGAGGTGGGAATGAACCATTTTGGGGGGAACTGGGTGCTTTCTTTTGGGGATGAATCAATTTGGGGGGAATTGCGGTGTTTGGGTCGGAATGAACCATTCTGGGGGGGGATTAGTGGAAATTGGGGTCCTTTTTGCCCCCAAAGTGGGTCGTGTCCCCCCCCCCCCCCAACGGATCTGGAGCCCCCCAAGTGCTGCCCATCACCATTTATTGCTCTGTCCCGTGTGTGTGACCCCTTAAACCCAAGCACCCCCCAAGGTAGGGGGGGTCAGGCCAGGCCGGAGCCCCCCCCCCTCACCGGGTACGGGGTTCCCCATGGTGTCTCCCAAGGGGTCCTCCATGGGGTGGGGGTCCCTCAGTGCCTCTGGGTCCTCGGTGGCGCTGGCGCCCCCCATGGTGGGGATGGGCTCGTCCAAAGCATCCCCTTCATCCCATTCATCCCCATCCCCTTCATCCTCCTCTTCCTCCTCCTCCTCCTCCCGGGGGTCGGGGGGGGGCTCATTGAAGTAGGCCTCCCTGGTGATGCCGCTGACCCAGCGCTCCAGGGGGGGGGCGCTGGTGAACCGGAGCCGGCCCCCCCCAACTCCCCCCCCCGCCGCAGTGGTCGTGGCCGTGCCCAGCAGGAACCAGACCCCGCGCTCCACACACGCCAACGGGGAGCCACCAAGTGCCTGCGGGGGGGGGGGGGGGGGGGGGGGGGGCTTCAAATAGACCCAAAACAGCCCGAAATAGACCCAAAACAGCCCCAAAACAGTCCGAAATAGCCCCATAATAGCCCCCAAACGGCCCCAAATAGGCCCAAACCAGCCCCAAACTGCCCGAGATAGCCCCAAAACAGCCCCCAAACAACTGAACCCCCCCCCCCAAAATAGCCTGGAACAGCATAAAGCAGCCCAAAATAGACCAAAACCAGGCTAAGGCAGCCCAAATGGGTCCTGGGGACTCCAAAGAGACCCCAAAGGGACCCCATAAGGAACATAAGGACCCCAATGGCTCCCCATGACCCCATAGAGACCCAATGGCCCCCAGTGGCCCCCAATGGCCCCATGGGCACCCAATGGCACCCAATGGCCCCATAGGCCCCTGAACGGCCCCACAGGCACCCAATGGCCCCCAACGGCCCCATAGGCCCCCGAATGGCCCCATAGGCACCCAATGGCCCCCCACAGACCTGCCGGGTGCTGTTGCCCTCGAGCACGGTGACACAAACGGTGTCGTTGGGGGTCGGGGTCTCGCAGGGTTCCGGCAGAGACACCTCCACACTGAGCACATCCATGGGGCTGGGGGAGCCTGCTCACAGGGGGGGCAATGGGGTCAATGGGGGCAACAGGGCAATGGAGGCTATGGGGCAATGGGTTCAATAGGGGCAATGGGGGCTATGGGGCAATGGGGTCAATAGGGGCAATGGGGTCTATGGGGAAATGGGGACACACTCCCTCCCATAGGGCTCTATAGGTCTCACCCCATAGGATTTATGGGGTCTATGGGGCTCCATAGGATCTATGGGGTCTATGGGGCTCACTCCATAGAATATATAGAATCTATGGGTCCCCCCATATAGGCTCTATGGGTCTCACCCCATAGGCTCTATGTGTCCCTATGTGTCTCTATGTGTCCCTATGTGTCTCTATGGTCCCTATGTGTCTCTATGGGGTCCCTATGTGTCTCTATGGGTCCCTATGTGTCTCTATGCTCCCTATGTGTCTCTATGCTCCCTATGTGTCTCTATGGTCCCTATGCTCCCTATGTGTCTCTATGGTCCCTATGTGTCTCTATGGTCCCTATGTCTCTCTATGGTCCCTATGTGTCCCTATGGTCCCTATGGTCTCTATGGTCCCTATGTGTCTCTATGTGTCCTTATGGTCTCTATGCTCCCTATGTCTCTCTATGGTCCCTATGTGTCTCTATGTGTCCCTATGGTCTCTATGGTCCCTATGGTCTCTATGGTCCCTATGTGTCTCTATGCTCCCTATGGTCTCTATGGTCCCTATGGTCTCTATGCTCCCTATGTGTCTCTATGGTCCCTATGTCTCTCTATGCTCCCTATGTGTCTCTATGGTCCCTATGGTCCCTATGTGTCCCTATGGGTCCCTATGTGTCTCTATGGTCCCTATGGTCTCTATGGTCCCTATGTCTCTCTATGCTCCCTATGTGTCTCTATGGTCCCTATGGTCTCTATGGTCCCTATGTATCTCTATGCTCCCTATGTGTCTCTATGGTCCCTATGGTCTCTATGGTCCCTATGTATCTCTATGGTCCCTATGTGTCTCTATGGTCCCTATGGTCTCTATGGGTCTCACCGTAGTCCCCCAGCAGCGCCCAGCAGCGGGTCCCGGGGGGGGCGCTGTGGTCCCCATAGGGGGCACAGAGGGGCCTCAGCGCCGCGCTCAGCCCCAGCGCGGGCTCCACGCGCAGCAGCGCCGCGTCCCGGCCCCGTCCCGGTCCCACGTAGGCCCCGTGGAGATGGAGCCTGGTGACGTTGGGGCGGGAGGGGGCGGGGTCAGCGGTGACGTCAGCGGTGACGTTGTCGCTCGCGGCCAGCGCCAACGGGAGCACCTCCCACTCGGCCGGGTCTTGGTGGCTGGAAGGGAAGGGGGGGGGGGGAGAGAAAGGGGGGGTTATGGGGCACCGCTATGGGGATGCTATGGGGGTTCTATAGGGTAGAGCTATAGGGATGCTATGGGTCTCTATGGGTTTCTATGGGGTCCCTATGGGTCTCTATGGGTTTCTATGGGGTCCCTATGGGTCTCTATGGGTTTCTATGGGTTTCTATGGGGTCCCTATGGGTCTCTATGGGTCCCCATGGGTCCCTGTGGGCCGGCAGGGGGGCACTCACCCGATGAAGCAGTGCGCGGCGCTCAGCACCCAGCTCTCCGCTATCAGCGCCCCCCAGCACTGGGGCCGCCCCCCCCGCAGCAGCGCCACGGACCAGGGCCACGCCGCGCCGCTAGGGGGCGCCAAAGCGGGGCCGCCCCACATCCCGCACCCTGCGGGGGGGACACACAGGGGTCTATGGGGCGCCCCATAGCCCTATGGGGGGACACACAGAGGGGTCTGTGGGGCACCCCATAGCTCTATGATGGGGACACACACACAGAGGGGTCTATGGAGCGCCCCATAGCTCTATGAGGGGGACATACAGGGTTCTATGGGGCGCCCCACAGCTCTATGGGTCCCAGTTACGGGCCGCGGCTGCCCTTACCCAGGCACAGCCCCTCCTCGCTGTGGGGCTCGGTGGCGGCGTCGTGGGGCTGGAGGAAGGCGCCGGGGGGGAGGTGGCGCCGCAGCCACCGCGTGTGGGCGCCCAGCGCCGTGCCCAGCACCGGCAGCCCCGGGCGGGCGCAGCCCACGGCGAAGCTCAGCACCCCCGCCTGGAACCAGCGCCCGGAGCCCCCCCGGCACTGGATGGGGCCCCCCGAGTCCGCCTGTGGGAGACAGCGGCACCCGAGGGGTCATGCAGGGGTCAGGTGGGGGTCACAGAGGCCAGGTAGGGGTCAGACAGGGGTCACATAGGGGTCAGGTGGGGTCACATAGAGGTCAGGTAGGGGTCACATAGAGGTCAGGTAGGGGTCAGGTGGGGTCACATAGAGGTCAGGTAGGGGTCAGACAGGGGTCACATAGAGGTCAGGTAGGGGTCAGGTGGGGTCACATAGAGATCAGATAGGGGTCAGACAGGGGTCACATAGAGGTCAGGTAGGGGTCAGGTGGGGTCACATAGAGGTCAGATAGGGTGGGGTCACATAGAGGTCAGGTAGGGGTCAGGTGGGGTCACATAGAGGTCAGGTAGGGGTCAGGTGGGGTCACATAGAGGTCAGGTAGGGGTCAGACGGGTCACATAGAGGTCAGGTAGGGGTCAGGTGAGGTCACATAGAAGTCAGGTAGGGGTCAGACAGGGGTCACATAGAGGTCAGGTAGGGGTCAGGTGGGGTCACATAGAGGCCAGGTAGGGGTCAGACAGGGGTCACATAGAGGTCAGGTAGGGGTCAGGTGGGGTCACATAGAGGTCAGATAGGGGTCAGGTGGGGTCACATAGAGATCAGGTAGGGGTCAGACGGGTCACATAGAGGTCAGGTAGGGGTCAGGTGGGGTCACATAGAGGTCAGGTAGGGGTCAGACATGGGTCAGGTAGGGGTCATATAAGGTCACATATGGGTCAGATAAGGGTCATATAGGGTCATATGGGGGTCAGGTATGGGGTTATATAGAGGTCATATAGAGTCACATAGAGATCATGCAGAGATTATACAGAGGTCATATAGGGGTCAGATGAGGGTTATATGAGGTCATATAGAGTCAGGGTCAGATAGGGGTCAGATAGGGGATATGGGGTCAGGCATGGGGTCATATAGGGGATATGGAGTCAGGTATGGGGTCAGAGGATATAGAATCAGGTATGGGGTCATATAGGGGTATAAACAATGTTATAGGGCACATCCAGCTCTACACAACATATAGACCCATAAACGGCTATACAGAGGAACACAGAATGACATCCCTATATCCCCCCATAGGCTCCCATAGGGCTCCATAGGCCCCCATAGGGCTCCATAGGCTCCCATAGGGCTCCATAGTGCTCTATAGGGCTCCATAGGCTCCCATAGTGCTCCCATAGGGCCCCCATACGGCTCCATAGCCTCCCATAGTCTCCCATAGGGCTCCCATAGTGCTCCCATAGGCTCCCCATAGGGCTCCCATAGGGCTCCATAGCCTCCCATAGTCTCCCATAGGGCTCCCATAGGGCTCCATAGGCTCCCATAGGCTCCCATAGGGCCCCCATGGGGCTCCATAGGCTCCCATAGGGCTCCCATAGTCTCCCATAGGGCCCCCATAGTGCTCCCATAGGCTCCCCATAGGGCTCCATAGGCTCCCATAGGGCTCCATAGTGCTCTATAGGGCTCCATAGGCTCCCATAGGGCCCCCATAGGGCTCCATAGCCTCCCATAGTCTCCCTTAGGGCCCCCATAGTGCTCCCATAGGCTCCCCATAGGGCTCCCATAGGGCTCCATAGCTTCCCATAGTCTCCCATAGGGCCCCCATAGTGCTCCCATAGGCTCCCCATAGGGCTCCATAGGGCTCCCCAGGGCTCGGTTACCTGGCAGGCGCCCTTGCCCGCGGCCCCCCCCGCACACACCATGCTGGGCCGGGCCGGCCTCGCCAGCGCCCTCCGGCGCAGCCCCGAGTAGAGGCAGTTGCAGGTGTCCGGGCTGAGCAGCGCCAGCGCCACCTCCTGCAGCGGGGCCCCGGCCGGCAGAGACACTGCGGGAGGGACGGGGTACGGGGACAGCAGGGAGACACGTACAGGGACATATAGGGACAGTGAGACACGTACAGGGACATATAGGGACAGTGAGACACGTACAGGGACATATAGGGACAGTGAGACACGTACAGGGACACATGGGGACAGTGAGACACGTACAGGGACATATAGGGACAGTGAGACACGTACAGGGACATATAGGGACAGTGAGACACGTACAGGGACATATAGGGACAGTGAGACACGTACAGGGACACATGGGGAGTGGTGAGACACGTACAGGGACATATAGGGACAGTGAGACACGTACAGGGACACATGGGGACAGTGAGACACGTACAGGGACACATGGGGACAGTGAGACACGTACAGGGACACATGGGGACAGTGAGACACGTACAGGGACATATAGGGACAGTGAGACACGTACAGGGACATATAGGGACAGTGAGACACGTACAGGGACATATAGGGACAGTGAGACACGTACAGGGACACATGGGGACAGTGAGACACGTACAGGGACACATGGGGACAGTGAGACACGTACAGGGACATATAGGGACAGTGAGACACGTACAGGGACACATGGGGACAGTGAGACACGTACAGGGACATATAGGGACCCATAGACCCCAATAGACCCCCACTGATCCCAATAGACCCCATAAACCCAATAGAGCCCCATTAACCCCATTGACCCCTGCTGATCCCAATAGACCTCATAGACCCCAATAGAGCCCCATAGAGCTCAATAAAGCCTCATTGACTCCTATAGAACCCAATAGAGCCCCATAGACCCCAACAGATGCCAATAGAGCCCCGTTGACTCCATTGACCCCCACTGACCCTGATAGACCTCATATACCCCAATAGACCCCCACTAACCCAAATAGACCCCCTAGACCCCCATTGACCTCCATTGACCCCATAGGCCTCCATTGACCCCAACAGACCCCCATTGACTGCATTGACACCCATAGGCCCCCACAGACACCCCATAGACCCCCATTGAACTCCATTGACCCCAACAGACCCCCATTGACTGCATTGACACCCATAGCCCCCACAGACACCCCATAGACCCCCATTGACTGCATTGACCCCAACAGACGCCCATTGACAGCATTGACACCCACAGGCCCCCACAAACAGCCCATAGGCCCCCATAGACACCCCATTGACCTCCATTGACCCCAATAGACCCCCATTGACAGCATTGACACCCACAGGCCCCCACAAACACCCCATAGGCCCCCATAGACACCCCATTGACCTCCATTGACCCCAATAGACCCCCATTGACCGCATTGACACCCATAGGCCCCCACAAACACCCCATAGGTCCCCACAGACACCTCACTGACCTCCATTGACTGCATTGACACCCATAGGCCCCCCACAGACACTGCATTGACCTCCATTGACCTCCATTAACCCCAATAGACCCCCATTGATTGCATTGACACCCATAGGCCCCCACAGACACCCCATAGACCCCCACTGACCTCCATTGACCCCAATAGACCCCCATTGACCGCATTGACACCCATAGGCCCCCATAGACACCCCATAGGCCCCCACAGACACCCCATTGACCTCCATTGATCCCGATAGCCCCCCATTGACTGCATTGACCCCAACAGACCCCCACTGATTGCATTGACACGCATAGGCCCCCACAGACACCCCATAGACACCCCATTGACCTCCATTGACCCCAATAGACCCCCATTGACCACATTGACACTCATAGGCCCCCATAGACACCCCATAGGCCCCCACAGACACCCCATTGACCTCCATTGACCCCAATAGACCCCCATTGACCGCATTGACACCCATAGACCCCCACAGACACCCCATAGACCCCCATTGACCTCCATTGACCCCAATAGACCCCCATTGACCGCATTGACACTCATAGGCCCCCATAGACACCCCATAGGCCCCCACAGACACCCCATTGACCTCCATTGACCCCAATAGACCCCCATTGACCGCACTGACACCCATAGACCCCCACAGACACCCCATAGGCCCCCACAGACACCCCATTGACCTCCATTGACCCCAATAGACCCCCATTGACCGCACTGACACCCATAGACCCCCACAGACACCCCATTGACCTCCATTGACCCCGATAGCCCCCCAAGCCCCCCCATACCCCTCTCACCGTTCTCGGCCACATGGCCCCACCCGGTCACCCAGCACTGTGCCCCATAGGGCAGGCGCAGGCCGGGGGGGGGCAGGCAGAGGGTGCCGACGCCGGGGCCGAGGCGCGCGGGGGAGCGCAGGCGCAGCAGGGCCAGGTCGTGGCCCCCCCGCACGCGGCGGTACCGGGGGTGCCGGAGCACGCGGCCCACGGCCAGCTCCTGCCCCCCCCCCGCCGACAGCCGTGCCCGGCCCAGCACGGCCCGCCAAGAGCCGGGGGAGCCTGCACCGGGGGCGCTGCGGGGACATGAGCCTATAGTGGGGCTATAGCATCTAGGGGGGACCTATAGCATCTAGGGGGGACCTATAGCATCCAGGCGGAACCTATAGCAGCTATGGGGGTCCTATGGGGGTCTATGGGGCCTATAGCGGGGCTATAGCATCTAGGGGGGACCTATAGCATCTAGGCGGAACCTATAGCAGCTATGGGGGTCCTATGGGGGTCTATGGGGCCTATAGCGGGGCTATAGCATCTAGGGGGGACCTATAGCATCTAGGGGGGACCTATAGCATCCAGGCGGGTCCTATGGGGCCTATAGCGGGGCCTATAGCGGGGCTATAGCATCTGGGGGGACCTATAGCATCTAGGGGGGACCTATAGCAGCTATGGGGACCTATAGTGCCTATGGGGACCCATAGCCCCTTATATCCCTCCATATCCCCCCTATAACTCCTTACATCCCCCCAATAGCCCTCCATATCCCCTTATAACAGCCCCATACCCCCATATAACCCCATATCCCCCCCATAGACCCCCGTATCCCCCCCATATCCCCCCATACCCCCCGTATAACCCCCATATCCCCCCATATAACCCCCATATCCCCCCTTATAACCCCATATCCCCCATATCCCCCCCATATAAGCCCATATCCCCCCATATAACCCCCATAGACCCCAATATAATCGCACACCCCCCATATAACCCCCATACCCCCCCATAGACCCCAATATAACCCCATACCCCCATATAACCCCCATTTACCCCTGGAAGCAGTGGGCGGCGCTGAGCACCCAGTGGGGGCTGAGCAGGGTCCCCCCGCAGCGGTGCTGTCCCCCCAGCTCCAGGCTCACCTGCCAGGGCCAGGCCCCCGGCGCCGCCCCCTTGCCCCCCACAACACGGCCCCGCGCCTGCGAGAGCCCGCACGGGGGCAGGGGGTCTGTGGGGGGACATAGGGGGGGTAAGGGGGGTACAGGGTGGCTATGGGGTTATAGGGGTCCTATGGGGGGTATAGGGTGGGTATGGGGTTATAGGGGTCCTATGGGGGGTACAGGGTGGGTATGGGGTTATAGGGGTCCTATGGGGGGTATAGGGTGGGTATGGGGTTATAGGGGTCCTATGGGGGATATAGGGTGGGTATGGGGTTATAGGGGTCCTATGGGGGGTATAGGGTGGGTATGGGGTTATAGGGGTCCTATGGGGGGTAGAGGGTGGGTATGGGGTTATAGGGGTCCTATGGGGGGTATAGGGGATATAGGGGTCCTATGGGGGGTACAGGGTGGGTATGGGGTTATAGGGGTCCTATGGGGGGTATAGGGTGGGTATGGGGATATAGGGGTCCTATGGGGGGTATAGGGTGGGTATGAGGTTATAGGGGTCCTATGGGGGGTATAGGGTGGGTATGGGGGATATAGGGGTCCTATGGGGGGTACAGGGTGGGTATGGGGTTATAGGGGTCCTATGGGGGGTATAGGGTGGGTATGGGGGATATAGGTGTCCTATGGGGGGTATAGGGTGGGTAAGGGGGATACAGGGTGGCTATGGGGTTATAGGGGTCCTATGGGGGGTATAGGGTGGCTATGGGGTTATAGGGGTCCTATGGGGGGTATAGGGTGGGTAAGGGGGATACAGGGTGGCTATGGGGTTATAGGGGTCCTATAGGGAGTATAGGGTGGCTATGGGGTTATAGGGGTCCTATGGGGGGTATAGGGTGGGTATGGGGTTATAAGGGTCCTATGGGGGGTACAGGGTGGCTATGGGGTTATAGGGATCCTATGGGGGGTATAGGGTGGGTATGGGGGATATAGGAGTCCTATGGGGGGTATAGGGTGGGTATGGGGTTATAGGGGTCCTATGGGGGGTATAGGGTGCGTATGGGGGATACAGGGTGGCTATGGGATTATAGGGGTCCTATGGGGGGTATAGGGTGTGTATGGGGGATATAGGAGTCCTATGGGGGGTATAGGGTGGGAATGGGGTTATAGGAGTCCTATGGGGGGTATAGGGTGGGAATGGGGTTATAGGAGTCCTATGGAGGGTATAGGGTGGGTAAGGGGGATACAGGGTGGCTATGGGGTTATAGGGGTCCTATGGGGGGTATAGGGTGGGTAAGGGGGGTACAGGGTGGCTATGGGGTTATAGGGGTCCTATGGGGGGTACAGGGTGGCTATGGGGTTATAGGGGTCCTATGGGGGGTATAGGGTGGGTATGGGGGATATAGGAGTCCTATGGTGGGTATAGGGTGGGTATGGGGTTATAGGGGTCCTATGGGGGGTATAGGGTGGGTGAGGGGGTTATAGGGGTCCTATGGGGGGTATAGGGTGGGTAAGGGGGTTATAGGGGTCCTATGGGGGGTATTAGGGTGGGTAAGGGGGGTACAGGGTGGCTATGGGGTTATAGGGGTCCTATCAGGGGGTATGGGGGGGTAAGGGGGGTACAGGGTGGGTATGGGGTTATAGAAGTCCTATGGGGGGTATAGGGTGGGTAAGGGGGGTATAGGGGCCTTATGGTGGGTATAGGGTGTGTATGGGGGGTATATGGTGGTTTGTATGAGGTATATAGGGTGCGTGTGAGGGATATAGGAGCCCTGTGGGGCTTATATAGGGTCTGTACGGGGTATATTAGGTCGGTATGGGAGTATATAGGGTCTATATGGGGGTATACAGGGTCTGTACGGGGTATATAGGGTCTGCAGTGGCTTATATAGGGTCTCTAGCAGGGTATATAGGGTGTGTATGGGGTATACAGTAGGGTCTGTAGGAGCTTATATGAGCATTATATGGCGGTTGTATGGGCTGCATATGGGGTTATATAGAGATACATGGGCATTAAATGGGGTATATGGAGTTATATGGGATACATTGGGTTATACGGGGGTACACGGGTATTATATGGGGGTTATGGGGCGGTATATGAGGTTATATTGAGGGTTATGTAGAGGTTCTATGGGACCCAGCATCCCCTTGAGGTCAGGACCGTTGGCGATGGGGTTGCGCCATAGGGGGAAGTGGGGACATGGGGGAAGTGAGGGGTGGCCTTTAGCACCCCATAGACACCCCATAGGCCCCCCTTACCTTCATCCCCCTCCTCAGCCACACCAGCTCCACCTGGGGGGGGTGTGTCAAAAAGGGGGTGAAGCAGCTTTTGGGGTGCCCCCCCCCATTTCCGCCCCATTGAGCCCCATGGAACCGGCCGGACCAGTTCTATGGGGCACACCCGGACGCGGTTCCCCCTCCCCAGGGCATGGGGGGGGGCACTTGTGGGTCCCATGTGTGTCCCATGCGTGTGCCCCCCCATGCGTGTGCCCCCCCACACTTACATGCGAGCAGCAGCAGCCATAGGGCGGTGGTGGCATGTCTGAGCGTGTTGAAGCGTGTTAAGGCGTGACGGGCCATGGGGCAGTGCTGGGGGGGGCAAAGGGGGTTATGGGGGGCTATGGGGTGCCTATGGGGCTATAGGGGTCTTTTGGGGGGGTCTATGGGTCCCTATAGGGTCCCTATGGGTCTGGGGAGGTGTTCACTATGGGTCTCTATAGGTCCCATATGGGTCCCAGGATGTCCCTATGGGTCCCTATGGCTCCGGGGGGGGGGATATCTATGGGTCCCAGCATATCCCTATGGGTCCCTATAGGTCTCTATGGGTCCAGGGGATTCTCTATGGGTCCCAGGATGTCCCTATGGGTCCCTATGGGTCCCAGGATATCCCCTATGGTCCCTATGGGATTCTATGGGTCCGGGGGGTGATCTCTACGGGTCCCAGGCTGTCCCTGTGGGTCTAAGGGGAGGGTCTGTGGGTTTCTATAGGTCTCTATGGGTCCCAGAATGTACCTGTGGGTCCGGAGGGAGGCTCTGTGGATCTCTATAGGTCCCTATGTGTCTCTATAGGTCTCTGTGGGTCTCTATAGGTCTCCGTGTCCACGCCGTCCCTCGTTCCCCTTTTAACCCCTATGGCCCCGCCCGGCTCCCGTGTCCCCCCCCCCCCGCCCCATGAACTACAGCCCCCAGCAACCCCCGCGGCAACATCCGGGTACCACAACCCCACCGCCAGCCAATCAGAGCGGGGCAAGGGCCGGGCGGGCAGCTAATAGGGAGGAGCAGACGGGGCGCACAAGGGACGCGGCGGGCCAATGGGAGGGCCTTGACTATGAGGGGGGCTCCTTTAACCCCCCCCAACGCTATAAAAGCGCTTCAAACGCCCCCCAGAACCCCGTTTTTGTCGGGTTTGGGGCGTTTGGAGGCGTTCTGAGGGCATTTTGAAGAGTTTTGGTGGCATTTTTAGGTTTTGGGGGTGATTTTGGGTTGTTTGGGGGCATTTTCAGGTGTTCTTTAGGGGCGAAAAGGGGGGTTATGGGGAGGAGGGGGTCAAGGGCCCATAGACGCCCTATAGATGCCCCATGGATGCCATTAACCCCCCCAGTGCCTCTTAGATCCACATTGAACCTCCACAGACCCCCATTAAACCCCCTTTAGACCCCCCCCAGACACCCCACAGACCCAATTGGCACCCATAGAACCCCATTAGCCCCCACTGGATCCCCACAGACCCCAACAGATCCCCATTAACCGGAGCCGCTTCCCCTCAGCCCGCGGCCGCCATCTTGCTCCGGTTCCCGCCGCCCCCGCTACTGAGCATGCGCGGAGAGGGACGGGAGGGGGCGTTGCCATGGAGACGCGGAGCTAGATGGAGGCGTTGCCATGCGCAGGGTAAGCCACGCCCCCTACCCGCGTTGCCTAGGCGACAGGGGCGTGACTCTCACCCCTCTTCCCGCCCTCCTCCAGCCAATCACCACGCCCCTCTTCGCCCGCCCCGCGCGCTGACTGGCTGAGCCCTCCCTTAGCCCCGCCTCCTCGCCGGCGCCTCCGCTTCCCCTCAGCCCGCGGCCGCCATCTTGGCTGCGGGGAGGCGGTGGCTCTGGTTGCGGCCTAGGCCCCGGTTTGAGGCCTCGGCCTCGATTTGGGCTCAGATTCGGCCTCCCCGGGTCCCCGCAGCGGCCACGACTGAAGGAGCCGCCTCGGGGGAGGCCGCGGCCCCCCCCCGGACCTGCAGCCGCCGGGGGGGGGGCGCCGGGACCCGCCGGAGCCGGACCGGGCCCAAGGAGCGGTGAGGGGCGGCAAGGGGCGGCTGTGGGGCACTTATGGGGCAGCCCCATAGAATCTGTGGGTCCCGTAGGTCCCATGATGCCGTCCGGCCCCATTGATCCCAATGGAGCCGAGTTGTTCCTCAAGGAAGATCCCGAGAAGCGCTTCGGGGACCTGCGGGAGATCGGGCACGGCAGCTTCGGAGCCGTCTACTACGTGAGTGCCCCAGAGATGTGGGGCAGGACCCACAAGGGGGGGGTTGGGCCCCATAGGTGTGGGGCAGGACCCATGAAAAGGGGTTTGGGCCCCATAGATGAGCGTTTATGGGCTGTTTGAACCTATGGATGTGGGGCAGAGGGGTGTTGGGGCCCATAGATGTGGGACAGGACCCAGAAGTGGGGGTTTGGGCCCCATAGATGACCATTTATGGGCTGTTTGGACCTATGGAAGGGGGGCAGGGGGGTGTTATGCCCCATAGATGTGGGGCAGGACCCATAAGTGGGGATTTGGGCCCCTTAGATGTAGGGCAGGACCCATACGTGGGGGTTTGGGCCCTATAGGTGTGGGGCAGGGGGGTGTTTGGCCCCATAGATTTGGGGCAGAGAGGGGTCAAGGCCCAGAGACCCATGGATGTGGGGCAGGGGGTGTTGGGGACCCATGGATGTGGGGCAGGGGGTGTTGGGCCGCACATCTATGGGTCCCAATATCCCCTATGGGCCCGGTGCCCCATAGAAGGGGGTCAGAGACCATCATGCCCCATAGATATTTGGCCTGGCATGCCCCTGCCCCATCTTTATGGGGTTCAGCAGCCACCTGACCCACATCTATAGGGCCCATTGTCCCATATGAGCCCCGTGCCCCACATCAGTGGGTCCTGCCCCACATGTCTGGGTCCCTGTTGCAGGCCCGGGACCTGCGCACGTCCGAGGTTGTGGCCATCAAGAAGATGAACTACAGCGGGAAACAGGCCAATGAGGTGAGGCCGAGGGGGCGGAGCCCCCTGACCCATAGCCTCCCCTCTGCCCCACAGCCAGCCCCATAGCCTCCCTCTCTGCCCCATAGAAGTGGCTGGACATCGTCAAGGAGGTGTCTCTGCTGCGGCGTCTGCGCCACCCCAACACCGTCCAGTACCGGGGCTGCTTCCTCTGGGGCCGCACAGCCTGGGTGAGCCCCAGCCCCACACATGTGGGGCTGGCCCCATAGATTGGACCCAGGAGTGGGGGTTTGGGGACTCTATGGGGGCGCACGGGGGTGTTTGGCCCCATAAATTGGGGTTGGTGGGTATTGAGCCCCACAGATGTGGGGCTGGGTTGGCCCCGTAAGTGGGGGCTTCAGGGGGGGTTTGGACCCATAGATGTGGGGCAGGGCGATACTGGGACCCATAGATGGGGGGTCGAAGCCATAGGTGGGGTTATGGGGGGTGCTGGGGCCCATAAGTGGGGGTTGGGGACCCATAGGTGTGGGGCAGGGGGACGTTGGGCCCCATATATGTGGTTCAGGTGTCACTTATGGGCTACAAGCCCCACACCCAGCATCTGGGGATGCATTTATGTGGGGCAGGAACCGCCCCATGGCCCCACTTATGGGGCAGAGCCTGATCCTGTGCCCGCAGCTGGTGATGGAGCGTTGCGTGGGCTCCGCCTCGGACCTGCTGGAGGGTGAGTGCAGCGCTATGGGGCAGGGCTATGGGGCAGCCCTATAGCATCCCTCTGCCCCACATCTCTGCCCCATAGAGCACCAGCAGCCGCTGCAGGAGCTGGAGATCGCAGCCATCGTCCATGGGGCACTGCAGGGGCTGCGCTACCTCCACATGCACAGCGTCATCCACAGGTCAGCCCCATAGCGGGACCCGTCACCCAGCCCCATAGCGGTACCCATCGTCCAGCCCCATAGCGGGACCCGTAATCAAGCCCCATAGCAGGACCCATTGTTCAGCCCCATAGCTCACCCCATAGCCCTGCCCTATAGTGGGACCCATCACCCAGCCCCATAGCTCACCCCATAGCCCTGCCCCACAGGGACGTGAAGGCCGGGAACATCCTCCTGACTGCGCCAGGATTGGTCAAGCTGGGGGACTTTGGCTCCGCCTCCACCTCGGCCCCCGCCAATTCCTTCGTGGGGACGCCATACTGGTAAGGAGGCTGCCCCATAGTGTGGCCCCACGTCCTGCCCCATAGCGCTGCCCCATAGCCCTGCCCCACATCCTGCCCCGTAGGATGGCGCCGGAAGTGATCCTGGCCATGGACGAGGGGCTGTATGATGGCAAAGCCGATGTGTGGTCCCTGGGCATCACCTGCATTGAGCTGGGTATGGGGCACTTGTGGAGCGGGGGGCACTTGTGGGGCTGGGGGGCACTTGTGGGGCTGCCCCATAGCGCTGTCCCCCATCGCCCCCTAGCGGAGCGGAGGCCGCCGCTGTTCAACCTGAACGCGATGAGCGCCCTCTACCGCATCGCACAGGAACCAGCGCCCGCGCTGCAGCCCCGGCACTGGTGAGTCTGTGGGGCTGCCCCATCGATTCTATGGGGTGATCCAGAGGGGGCGTGGGGCTGCCCCATAGCTTCAATGGGGCTGCACAATAGATTCTATGGGGTGACTCAAAGAGGGTGCGGGCTGCCCCATAGCTTCCATGGGGCTGCCTCATAGATTCTATGTGGTGACAAAGAGGGAATGTGGGGCTGCCCCATAGGTTCTATGGGGTGACCCAAAGGGGATGTGAGGTTGCCCCATAGGTTCTATGGGGTGACCCAGAGGGGGTGTGGGGCTGCCCCATAGCTTTCATAGGGCTGCCCCACAGACGCCGCGGCTCCCCCATAGGTCGGACTTGTTCTGCTCCTTCGTCTCCTCCTGCCTGCAGAAGGCGCCATTGGCCCGGCCCAGCTCTGACGTCATCATCCAGGTGGTGATGTCACAGGGGAGGGCGGGGGTCGAGGAGGGGGTGGGGCTAAGGGGGAATCTGGGAACGGCGGGTCTTGAAGGGGGCGTGGTCTGATGTGGCCCCGCCCCCAGCATGGGTTCGTGACCCGGGCGCTGCCCCCATGGGTGCTGCCAGAGCTGCTGCGGCGCTGCCGGGACCCAGCGCGGAGACAGGTCTGTGACAGCACCCTATGGCACCCTATGACACCCTATAGCACCCTATGGCGCCCCATGGGACCCTACAGCACCCTATGGCACCCTATGGGACCCTACAGCACCCTATGGGACCCTACAGCACCCTATGGGACTCTGTAGCACTCTTATGTCTGTCTATGGGCACTCTATGGGACCCTATAGCACCCTCTTTGACCCTATGGGTCCCTATAGCACCCTATGGGCCCGTATTGCACTCAGTAGCACCCAGTGTGTCCTCTCCAGGCCCTGGAGCCCAGCAGCAGCTCCAGCTCCAGCCTGGACCAGGATGAGGACGAGGAGGAGGAGGAGGAGGAAGAAGACAGCTCCCCATTGGCCGAGCAGGACACAGGCTCCTCCCCCAGCTCCATTTTCCACCAATTGGCTGTGAGTTGAGGGGCCCAATGGGATGGAGCACCCCACAGCCCCATCTGTGGGTGCCCCCCACCCCATGGCTCCCTCCCTTCTCCCACAGGAGCCAGATCCGGGCCTCCCCCGGCGGCATTCCGGAGCCCGGGAATGGCGGCAGCAGCACTGCCCCCCCCCCTTCACCCCCTCCCCCTTCCTCACCCCCTCCCCTTCCCCTCCTCCAAAGCCCTCCCCTGGCCCCACCCTCACTTTAAGCCCCTCCCTGTCCTTAAGCTCCACCCCCTCTTTAAGCCCCTCCCCTTCCAATGGCTCCACCCCCTCTTTAAGTCCCTCCCACTCCGTTGCCTCCTCCCCTTCCACGCCCATTGGCTACTCCTCCCCTTTAAGCCCTGCCCCCTCCGTTGACTCCTCCCCCTCCCATGGCCCCTCCCACCCTTCCAGTGACCCCTCCCCCTCCCACTCTTCAAGCCCCTCCCAATCCATTGGCTCTTCACCCTCTTTAAGCCCCGCCCCCTCCACACCCCCCTCCCACCCTTCAAGCCCCTCCCCCTCCCATGGCCCCCTCCCCCCTTCAAGCCCCTCCCCTCGCCCTCCCTCCCCCCTCCCCTTCCCCCCCTCCCTCCTCTTCCTCCTCCTCCTCCCCCCCCTCCTCCTCCTCTTCCTCCCCCCCCTTCCCTTCCCCCTCCCGCTGTGGGGGAGGGGCACCAACTCCTCCTCCTCCTGGTTCCCGCCCTCCCTCCTCCCCTTGACCTTGACCCTCACCTTGACCTTGGCCCTGCCCCGCTTTGGCCCCGTTTGGCCCCAATTTGGGGTGCCCCCCCCCCTGCACGTCCCGGTCTTGGTCCTGGCCGCCCAGCTCTGGGTCTCCCCATGGCTCTTCCTCCCCCTTTACCTCGTGGGGGTGCTGGGGAGGGGGCGGGGCTTGATGGGCGGGGCGGGGCTCCCCCGGCTCTGGCTCCGCCTCGCTCTGGGGCTGCCCCCCCCCGTGTTCTCCCTGCTCTTCCATTGGGGCGTCCTCTCGGAGCGCCGCCTCTTCCGCCTCTTCCCGCGGGCCCGCAAGACCGCCTTCCGCTCCCGCCTGCCCATCGCCTCCTACAGGCAGGGCCGAGGCCACGCCCCGCCGCCCCCGGCCACGCCCCGCCGCCCCCGGCCACGCCCCCTGCGCCTGCTGGCCCAATGGGCGGCGAGGTTGGGGCAGGCGCTGGCGGGGGGCGGGGTCAAGAGGGGGGTTGTGGCCTCCCATAGGCCCAGCCGCATCCCCAGGCCACGCCCACAGGGGAGGAGGGGCGGGGCCACGCAGCCGAGGGCGGGACCATTATAGGCACTACAAGGGGGGGGGGCCACCCCGTATAATGGGGCCTGGGACCCCCACGTTGGTGATGGGGGGACCCCCCGCCCCCCATGGACCCGTATGGGGGTTTTGACCCCCCCCATAACATTGGGCTCTCCCAAGTGGGGGTCAGGGACCCCCCGCCCAAAGGCTTTTTGGGGCCATTTCCCATCAATTTGGGACCTTTTGGGGTCGTTTTATTCGATTTTCATCGTTTATGGTCATTTTCCATCAGCTTTTGGGGGGGTTGGGGTCATTTCGGGGGGGACTTTGGGTCATTTTGGGGGGTTTCGTTGCTTTTGCCTTGAATTAACTTTATTTTCATGGTGTTTATTTAAAAAAAAGAACACAAATGTCAAAAAAAAACGATTTTGCCTCTTTTTGAGTGGGCGGGGGTGGGGGGAGGTGCTGATGTCATTTGGGAGGCAGCCAATGGGTGCTTAGCAACATCGTTAAGTACCAGTGTTAATTACAGCCCTCATTAGGTGGAGGGGGGGAAGGAGGGACTATTAACCCTTTAATAAATCAGTGAACCCCTTCATTAATTCACCCATTAATTGATTAACCATTAATTAACCCGTTAATTAGTGAATTCTTTCATTGCTTAATCTGTTAATGAATCAATGAACCCCTTCATTTATTAACCCTTTAATTAATTAGCTCCTTCATTAATTAACCTGTTAATTAGTCAATGAATTCTTTCGTTAACCCATTAATTAATGAATCCCTTCATTAGTTAACCCGTTAATTAATCCCTTCATTAGTTAACCCATTAGTTAATCAATTAATCCCTTCATTAGTTAACGCATTAATTAATCAATGAATCCCTTCATTAGTTAACCCGTTAATTAATCAATGAACCCTTTCATTAATGAACCTGTTAGTTAATCAATGAAACCCTTCATTAATGAACCCGTTAATTAATGAAACCATTAATGAACCCGTTAATTAATCAATGAACCCCTTCATTAATGAACCCGTTAATTAATCAATGAACCCCTTCATTAATGAACCCGTTAATTAATCAATGAACCCCTTCATTAATTAACCCGTTAATTAATCAATGAATCCATTAATCAATTATCGCCGTTATTAATCAATACCCAAGGCCCGCGTCGCCATGGCAACTCCGCTCTGCCCGGAACCGGAACCTCCGCCATTGGCCCATTCCCCCCCCCCTTACTCCGCGCTGATTGGTCCTCTTCCGCTTTCCCCCTCTCTGATTGGCTGAAGCGTTGAGGGGGGGGAAGGGGCGGGACTAAGCGCGACTTCCTTCCGCTCGCTCTTAAAGGCGCCGCGCGATGGCGGGCGGCGACAACGTCTTCCTCTTCGTGCCCAACGTTATCGGTGAGCGTTTAAACGGGCGGGGGAGGGAAACGGGAGCGTCCGTGGGGGGCGGGGCTGACGGCCGCTCCGCCCCTCAGGGTACTTCCGCATCGCCTTGGCCGCAGCCTCCTTCTACCTGATGCCGACGGCGCCGGGCCCCGCCGCGGCCTGCTACGGCCTCAGCGGCCTCCTGGACGCCGTGGACGGGCACGCGGCGCGCGCGCTGGGGCAGGGTGGGGCGGGGCTTGGGGGGGTGGGAGGGGCTTGGGGGGGTGGGAGGGTCCATGCCCCACATGGGTGTGCTCTTCCCGACAGCATGTCCCAGCCCCACAGCTCCCCACTGTGCGTCCTGCCCCACAAGTGGGCGTGTCCATCCCTGCTGCCATCCCCCATAGAGGGGTTTCCTTGCTCCACAGAGGGGTTCCCTGCCCCACAGAGGGGTTTCCTGCCCCATAGAGGGGATTCTCTGCCCCACAGAAGAGATTCCCTGCCCTATAGAGAGGTTTCCCTGCCACATAGAGGGGTTCCCTGCCCCACAGAGGGGTTTCCTGCCCCATAGAGTGGATTCTCTGCCCCACAGAAGAGATTCCCTGCCCTATAGAGAGGTTTCCCTGCCACATAGAGGGGATTGCCTGCCCCATAGCACCCCATGGGGGGTTTTGTGCCCCCTAGAGCCCCGTAGGGGGGTTCCGTGCCCCATAGCACTCCATAGGAGGGGTTCCGTGCCCCCCAGCACCCCACAGGGGGGGTTCCCTGCCCCATAGCACTCCATAGGAGGGATTCCATGCCCCCCAGCACCCCATAGAGGGGGTTCCCTGCCCCATAGCACCCCATGGGGGGGGTTCCCTGCCCCCTAGCGCCCCATAGGGGCTGTTCCCTGCCCCATAGCGCCCCTCGCGGTGGGTCCCGCAGGCTCGCGGCTCGGCGCCATGCTGGACATGCTCACGGACCGGCTCTCCTCCATGTGCCTGCTCCTCAACCTGGCCCTGCTCTACCCCACGGCCGCGCCCCTCTTCCAGCTCAGCATGGCCCTGGACGTGGCCAGCCATTGGCTGCACATGCACTGGTGGGCGGGGCTTCGGGGGGGAGGGGCTTAAAGGAGGGAGGAGCTTAAGGGAGGGAGGGGCTTAATGGGAGCGAGGGGCTTAAAGGAGGGAGGGGGTTAACGGGAGGGAGGGGATAAAGGGGCTTTGCCCCAGCAGGGGGCGGAGCCTGCTCCTTAGGGGGCTGGGCTTTCTGGCACGTGCAGCCAATAAGGAGGAGGGGATGGGGTGGGCGTTTCCCGCGCTGACCCCGCCCCCTTCCGCAGCACCACCCTGGAGGGGGGGCGGAGCCACAAGGCAGTGGGGGGGACGACGCACCCCGTGCTGAGGCTGTACTACAGCTCCAAGGTGAGAGGGTAAGGGGAGGGGCTTGAAGGGTGGGAGGGGCTTGAATAGGGGGGGAGGGGCTTAAAGGGGTGGGAGGGGGTTAAAAAGCGGGAGGGGCTTAAATCGGAGTTTAGAGGGGTGGGAGGGGCTTAAAGGGTGGGAGCAGCTTAAAGGGGTGGGAGGGGCTTCCAGAGGCCCCCTCACTCCCCATTGTGTCCCCGTCCCCCCCAGGCGCTGCTGTTCCTGCTCTGTGCGGGCAATGAGGGGTTCTATGGGTGCCTTTACCTGCTGCACTTCGGGGAGGGGCCGGCCGGTGAGCACGGGGCGGGGGAATGGGGTGGGAATGGGGGGGAATGGGATGGGAATGAGGGAGAATGGGGTGGGAATGGGGGTGAATTGGGGGGGAATGGGGGGGGAATGAGGGGGAATGGGATCTGATAAACTGGAATGGACTGGGAGGGGAATGGGATGGACTGGGCTATACTGGGGGGGTCACTGGGCTATACTGGGGGTCTATACTGTGCCATGTGGGGTTTATACTGGTCTAAGGGGGTCTCTGATGGTGTCTTTGCCCCCTGCAGTTTTGCCGGGGGGGCCAGGGCTGTTCCGGGCCGGGCTCTGGGTCACGGCCCCCTTGGCCCTGCTCAAAGGGGCCCTGAACCTGGTGCAGCTCGGGGGGGCGGCGCGGAGGCTGGCAGCGATTGACCGGGCTGAGCGCGCCAAGGGGCAGTGAGAGCTGGAACGGGCTGAAAACCGGCAGAAACGGGCAAAACCACCCCGGGAACAGCCAGAAACGGGAAAAAACACCCCGGAAACAGCCAAAAATGGGCAAAACCACCCTGGAAACACCAAAAAAGGCCCTAAAACCTCCCCCAGCTCCTTCCAAACCCCACACCCCACTCCATGGACTCAAACCCCCTCAGGGACCCCAGACCCCCCCTTGGACCTCCCCCCCAAGGACCATGCAGGACCCCCCCATTAAAGTGGTGCTGCCCATGCGCGGTGTCTGAGTGGTGGCAATGGGGGGCAGTGGAGTCCCCCCTGCCCTATAGACCCCCATGGACCCCATTGACCCCACCCCTCCTCACTCAGCCAATCAACACGTGTATTTAATATGACGTCACGCCATCTGTGAGAGGTGTGTGTGCTCTGTGTGCCAGCAGGGGGCGCTGCTTGGCGGCGCAAGCCGTAGGGGGCGCTCTTTGGCGGTACAAACAGCAGGGGGCGCTGTTTGGCGGTGTCAGCAGCAGGGGGCGCTCTTTGGCGGTACGAACAGCAGGGGGCGCTGTTTGGCGGTGCAAGAGGTAGGGGGCGCTGTTTGGCGGTGTGAACAGCAGGGGGCGCTGTTTGGCGGTGCAAGAGGTAGGGGGCGCTGTTTGGCGGTGTGAACAGCAGGGGGCGCTGTTTGGCGGTGTCAGCAGCAGGTGGCGCTGTTTGGCGATGTCAGCAGCAGGGGGCGCTGTTTGGTTGCACCAGCGGCAGGGGGCGCTGTTTGGCGATGTGAACAGCAGGGGGCGCTGTTTGGCGGTGCAAGAGGTAGGGGGCGCTGTTTGGCGGTGTGAACAGCAGGGGGCGCTGTTTGGCGGTGCCAGCAGCAGGGGGCGCTCTTTGGCGGTACAAACAGCAGGGGGCGCTGTTTGGCGATGTCAGCAGCAGGGGGCGCTGTTTGGTTGCACCAGCAGCAGGGGGCGGTGTTGGGGGGCGCTGTGGGGCGCCGTCAGAGGCGGCGGATCTTCATCTCGCTGCGCTTGAGCGAGTAGTGGAAGCCCTTCCAGCGCGCCCAGTTGAGGCCGTTGCCGTAGGAGAGGTGCGCCCCCCCCAGGTAGAAGCCGTTGAGGTTGGAGAGGTGGCAGCTGCGGAACCACCAGGCCCCCGAGGAGAGCGCGGCGCAGCTCTGGGCGAACAGGTCCTGGTCCCGGTCGAACGTGGAGAACTTCTGCCCGTGGTGGTAGCTCAGGGCGTCCCCTGCGGGCAGCGGCGGCGGTGTGGGGCTGACCCATACGGGGGGGGCTCTATGGGGCCTGACCCATAACGGGGGGTCCTGAGCTATGAGAGTGCTGCCCCATAAGTGGGGGTTCTGACCCATAATTGGGGGTTCTGACCCATAAGTAGGGGGCTTTATGGGGCCTGACGCATAAGGGGGCGGTCCTGAGCTACGAGAGTGCTGCCCCATAATTGGGGGTTCTGACCGATAAGTGGGGGGCTCTATGGGGCCTGATGCATAAGTGGGGTCCTGATCTATAAGAGTGCTGCCCCATAAGTGGGGGTTCTGACCCATAATTGGGGGTTCTGACCCATAAGTGGGGGGCTCTATGGGGCCTGATGCATAAGTGGGGTCCTGATCTATAAGAGTGCTGCCCCATAAGTGGGGGTTCTGACCCATAATTGGGGGTTCTGACCCATAAGTGGGGGGCTCTATGGGTTCTGCCCCGTAAGTGTGTGTCCTGCCCTATAAGTGTGGGGCTCTATAGGTTCTCTAGAAGAGTAGGCCCCGCTCCAGGGGTCTCCATGGATCTCAGCCCCATCTCTGGGTCCTGCCTCTGTGTGTGTCTCTCACCCCTCAAGTGTGGGTCATGCTATGGGACCTCTATGGGTCTCATCCTCCATTGCTGCACCCTGTCCCATAAGTGTGGGTCCCGCCCCATACCCCATTTATGCCTCTTTCCCCATAGGCATGGCTCCCTATGGGCTCAGCCCCATAAACGTGGCTCTATGTGCCTGCCCCCCAAGCGTGGGTCCCGCGGCCGTACCTGCGCCCCCGTCGCGGAAGCCCTGCACGTGCAGGCTGTACCCGTCCTCCTCGGCGCTCACGGCGCCCGGCGCCAGCGCGAAGGAGCCGTAGGTGGCGGCGGCCGAATTGTTCTGGAAGTCCTCGAGCTCCACGCGCAGCTCGTAGGGGGCCTGCAGGGTCAGCAGGTGCAGGGTCTGCAGGCCTAGGGGGGACAGAGGGGATAGGGGGGGCCGTGGGGGCTACGGGGGGGCTATGGGGGTCTACAGGAGGGCTACAGGGGGCTATGGGGGGTCTATGGGGGGCTATGATGGGCTACAGGGGGGCTATGAGGGGTCTATGGGGAGTGTATGTGGGGCGTATGGGGGTCTATGGGGGGGCTGTTGGGGGCTATGGTGGACTATGGGGGGCTATGGGGTCTCTATGGGTGTCTATGGGGGGTGTATGTGGGGTCTGTGGGGGTCCATGGGGGGGCTATCGGGGAATATGGTGGTCTATGGGGGAAATAGAGGGTTTGGGGGCTATGAGGGGCTATGGGGGTTAATGGGGGATTGTGGGCGGCTATGGGGGAGCTATGGGGGTTCTAGGGGGGCCTACGAGGGTTCTAGGAGGGTCTATGGGGGTCTATGGGGGGTCTATGGGGGTCTATAGGGGGCTATGGGCGCCTATGGGGGTCTACGTGCGCTATGGGCGGCTCTGGGGGTCTATGGTGCGGGACACGGTGTAGGTTATGGGGCAGAGTGGGGTCTGCGGGCCCCTATAGGTCCCTGTGGCGCTCACCCAGCCAGTACTCGCCGTCGGCCCTCCCGAAGCCCCTCTTGTAGTCATCCCAGCCGCGGAAGAAGCTCACGGAGCCGTTGAAGCGCTTCTGGAACACCTGCAACGGGAGGGGGCAGCCGTAGGGCGCTGTGGGGCGCTGTGGGGCAGCCACACGGGGGCGTGCTAGCAGTCCCTCCGGGCCGCCAGGGGGCGCCGTTGTGCGGGGGGGTGGTACCGTCCAGACGTGCCCCTCCGTGCTCATGTCGCAGTAGACGGGCACGGGCGCGGCGGCGCCCCCTGCAGGGTAGATCAGGTGGACGCCGTCGGAGCGCGCGCCCCGCGCGTGCACGTCCTGGCAGTCCCGGGGGGGCAGCGGCGGGCACGACCCGGGGGGGGCTGCGGGGGGGGAGAGGGGAGTCAGTGGGGTCCCGAGGGAGCCCTATGGAGCCCTATGGAGCCCTATGGGTCCTTATGGAGCCCTATGGGTCCCTATGGAGCCCTATGGGTCCCTATGGAGGCCTATGGGTCCTTATGGAGCCCTATGGGTCCCTATGGAGGCATATGGGTCCTTATGGAGCCCTATGGGTCCCTATGGAGCCCTATGGAGGCCTATGGGTCCTTATGGAGGCCTATGGGTCCCTATGGAGGCCTATGGGTCCTTATGGAGCCCTATGGGTCCCTATGGAGGCCTATGGGTCCCTATGGAGGCCTATGGGTCCTTATGGAGCCCTATGGGTCCCTATGGAGGCCTACGGGTCCTTATGGAGCCCTATGGGTCCCTATGGAGCCCTATGGGTCCTTATGGAGGCCTATGGGTCCTTATGGAGCCCTATGGGTCCCTATGGAGCCCTATGGGTCCCTATGGAGGCCTATGGGTCCCTATGGAGCCCTATGGGTCCCTATGGGTCCCTATGGAGCCCTATGGGTCCCTATGGAGGCCTATGGGTCCCTATGGAGGCCTACGGGTCCTTATGGAGCCCTATGGGTCCCTATGGAGCCCTATGGGTCCCTATGGAGGCCTATGGGTCCCTATGGAGCCCTATGGGTCCCTATGGGTCCCTATGGAGCCCTATGGGTCCCTATGGAGGCCTATGGGTCCCTATGGAGGCCTACGGGGTCCTTATGGAGCCCTATGGGTCCCTATGGAGCCCTATGGGTCCCTATGGAGGCCTATGGGTCCTTATGGAGCCCTATGGGTCCCTATGGGTCCCTATGGAGCCCTATGGAGTCAGTGGGTCCCTAGGGAGGCCTATGGGTCCCTATGGAGTCAGTGGGTCCCTAGGGAGCCCTATGGGTCCCTATGGAGGCCTATGGGTCCCTATGGGTCCCTAGGGAGCCCTATGGGTCCCTATGGAGGCCTATGGGTCCCTATGGGTCCCGATGGAGCCCTATGAGTCCCTATGGAGGCCTATGGGTCCCAATGGATCCCTATGGATCCCTATGGATCCCAATGGAGTCAATGGAGCCCAATGGATCCCTATGGATCCCTATGGATTCCAATGGAGTCAATGGAGCCCAATGGATCCCTATGGAGCCCTATGGAGCCCTTTGGAGCCCTATGGATCCCAATGGAGTCAATGGAGCCCTATGGAGCCCAATGGATCCCAATGGAGTCAATGGAGCCCAATGGATCCCTATGGAGCCCCATGGATCCCAATGGAGTCAATGGAGCCCTATGGAGCCCAATGGAGCCCAATGGAACCCAATGGAGTCAATGGTGCCCAATGGAGCCCATAGAGTCCATATACCCCGTGTATCCCATCTACCCCATATCCCTATATCCCATATATTCTATATACCCCATGTATCCCATGTTCCTACACCCCGTATATCCCGCTTATCCCATATACCCCGTGTATCCCATACATCCCACATCCCTATATCCTGTATATTCCATATACCCCATACATCCCATATCCCATATATCCCATGTATCCCGTGTAGCCCATATATCCCCTATATCCCCTCCATCCCCTCCATCCATACCGTCCCCCCGCTGCTCACCGTGGGGGTCAATGGGCTGCCCCTCTCCCAGCACCACCAGTGCCACCAGGACAGCCACAGCCAGCACCTGGGGGGCACACAGGGGCCGTATGGGGTCATAGAGGGGCATATGGGGGGTATATAGGGTCATATGAGGGGTATATAGGGTCATATAGGGGGTATATAGGGGTATATGGGGGCTATGGGGTCATACAGGGGCTGTAAAGGGTCATATAGGAGGTATATAGGAGGTATATAGGGGC